CCATCAGTTAAAGCTGAGCTACACATCTTCTCGATGTAAACAAGTTGGGCATAATGCTAAAACTTGTCCGACATAGTATTGTTTGCAGGAATTTTCTTTTCGGATAATGGCAAACATGACTGTTGGTTTATGTGTTTTATGTCTATTCGTGACAAATCATCCATAATGTTATCCTAACTCAGCCGCAATGCTCCAATAAATCAGCTGTGAAACACAATAACTCAGTCGTGATATAAAAAAAAACTGAAAATAATAATTAATAAAAGAAAATTTGGAAAATAAATTAATTAGCAAACTGAAAATAACAGTTAATGCTAGTATTAAATTTTATCATTTAGTACATTAAGATAAGTCAGCCGTAAAGCATTATAACTCAGCCGTAATATGTAAATTTACGCAACCTTTCGTCTTTCGTGAACCATTATAACTCAGCCGTAACATGTAAATTTACACAACATTTCGTCTTCCGTGAAGCATTATAACTCAGCCGTGACATGTAAATTTACGCAACTTTTCGTCTACCGTGAAGCATTATAACTCAGCCGAAAGTTAATGGCGTGGCTTTAATTTTATTTTATTTAGTGACGTGGATTAAAAAAATAATTAAAAAATCCCAATTAAAAAAAAACTAATCAAGGGTGTTAATTGTAATTTACACAAGGACGCTAAACATATGAATAATTTTTTAAAAATGTATGATATTCTAGTAATATTCTAACCTTTCTATAACATCTGAGTAAATATTTCTAATTTTTATTGTGTAAACTCATGATTAGTTTGGTTTAGTTATCAAAAAGTTGTCAAAGTTTGAACATATGTATATGTAATTTTATTATTTAATTTGTTTAAATAAATGAAACTAGAAAAATATGCCCTTAAAATTTTCCAAAAAACTTAGATGCCATAAGCTAATGTTTTTTTTTTACCATTGAAGCACGTCCCTGGAGCTTATATATGTAGTTAGTTATGTGGCCAAAAAACATATGAAGCCAGACCTGTTTCTTCTTGTCAATATTTTGTCATTAGTTAGTTATGTAGTTAGTATTCTTCTTCGTTCATGTCCCACATATTCTTCTTCGTTCATGTCCCACATGTCCCACATGTTCTTATTAATATCTTATGCTATTATTACCAACTTGCAAGTTAATATTGTCTACTAGAAGATGGAATATGTGTTTACTTTGTGAGTTTAACTGAGTTATTGTAATGTGGTACCAATTTGTTTTTGTGCAACAAGTTTTTCAATCATACTTCAACGATTATATATGAGAAGAGCATAACCGGACACACCCGATATGCAAACCAATCTTTCAATCCGATAGGACAAGCAAAACGATAAAAGGATAAGAGAAAATCTTAACGAAATTTGATGTCGTGTTAGAAGCAATGTCGAAAACACCAAGCGCAAGCCAATTTAAGAAAGAGTTCCATATTACACTGAATTTTCCAATTGATTATGACTTTGAAATATAGTCCAAAACCTCGATTCTCACTGAAATGAGTTCCGTTACACCTACCGGTCCCGAGAAAACCATCACATGCAAAACATTACCGGTCCCGTAATGTGGTAGCAATTTAATGTACGTTACAAGTGAAGAAATTAATACAATATACAGTTAATATTATCCACACCAATGTCTGGAAAATGCTAGGCCTAATTGCTATTTTTCATAACAAAATATTCCTACACTGATCTTCTTAACATTGTCAATGAATGATGACCTCACAGCTGCGAGAACGCTTCGTGAAAGTACGAAGCTCCTTGAAGATATATGAATCTTGGTTTGCTATCGAAGAATCCTTGAAACGCATAATGAGTTTCTGGAGAACTACTGAATTCTCGAGAAAATACCTCACTAATTTCTTCCCGGTTTCTTCTCCCATAATCAATTCTCTAATCTCAACACACTTCAGACTCGATAATAAACACTGAGGGACATAGGTAAGTCCATCTTGCTCAGGCTCTGTTGAAACAGCAAAGTCCTGCAGGTGCACACGCTGGATTTACAATATATTCAGAGATGTTCTTAACTAACCAAATCATAGATTCGTTCATAATCTTACCAAGATGAGGTTTTCCAGATTCGGGCAGCTCTCAAGAAAGACAAGCAACAACTGCAACATGGATCTAGAAAACGCAGCTTGTAAACGATACAAGTTATCGAATCTGGGAATTGGTCCCAATTTCGAATATCGATCGAGGACCTACAAGAAGAAAGAAAAGGACACATCATAGGGAATCAAATTACATTTCTTGTTACATATATGCATCGCAAAGTAGATATTTACCTCTAAAGTACGCTGAGAGATGATCATATGTCTTACACAAGATATCTCAGTTAAAACATCACGGATAATATCTCTCTTGCGTAAATCCTCTGGTTCCAAAGGACTGCCGCCAAACTTAACATTAAATTCAGTATCAATATCGATCATCGATAAAGAATTTAGGTTCTTGACTACAATCATATCAGATTGGTTATCATTAAAATTCAAATACTCGAGTCTAGGAGCATCAATCTCAACCGAAAAATATGTACCAGCCATACTATACTCAAACGTAAGACGAAAGCTTTTAAGAGTCTGAGACCTCACCCTAAGAAACCGCAGATCATCTAGATTACAAAAATCAATAGCCCTAATCAATACAAAATCTTCAAGAACAGGACAACCTGAGATAACCTTCTCAATGACCAAAGGATCATCCCAATACCAAACATCTTCTAAATGCATTTTCTTAAGAAACGGTAACGAAACAACGAACTCGGGATTCTCGATTCCTACGGTTACAAGCACCAAAGACACCAATGTGTTACTCTTATATATGTTTTGAGGCATGAACTCTCTTACACACATATCAGTCTCAAAACCATTAGCATCCAAATATTGAATTCCGCAATCAACCGTTGTTCCAACCCACCCCGCCAACCGATCATCATCATAAGTGTATTCATCATACTTCAACTTGAATTTTCGCATTCGTGAATTTCGATTAAACTCGAGAAAATTGTCGATAAAGCTCGCGTAGTTTTCTTCAGGGAAATTGCTGACTTTTAAGTCAAGAACAGGAACCCTAAGCCAGAGAAATTCCCATCTTTTAGATAAAACGCTAGTCTTAACGGAATCTTTGGTTGGAAGGTATGAGAGTATTTGATTTAGCAAAGAATCTGGCAATTCGCTGATTCTATCGCAATTCATCGCAAGTAACGAAATCCTAGAGTATCAAAAATGTTTCAGAATTGGTCACAAAATCAGATACATAATCATGCAATCGAGCTGGGTCTGAAGAACTTACCGTCGATTTGAGTCGCCGGCGAATTATTGTTGAAGTTATCGGAGCAAATTTTCAGAAGTGATCCCCAAAACACATACATAGACAGGCGGCGGAGAGAGAGAAATGTGAGTGTGAAGAAGTCACCGTCGATTTGATTCGCCGCCGCAAGTAATCTGAAACGATCAGGGATTGGGCCTAATTGGGCTTAATTGATCCCATGGATATCTTCTTATCTTATTTGCGATTTGTTATTGATTTGAGTATCAAAGTCTTTTGAAAACATAACCAATGTAAATTATTTGAAAACATTTCGGAGCATAAGGTTTAGTCCTTAACTTCAGGAGTCGCCGGCTCGGAACACTCTAAGTCGGAGTGTGGAGACTCTCCACAAACCTCAAGGGAATAAGGTTTGTGGAGACCCTCTAAGTCGGATGCATTTCGGAGTAAAGCATTAGATTGATGATTAGGATCCCTCAGCAAGAAATTAAAAATAATATTCGGATCTAACAGCTGTGAGCGATTGAGTATCAAATTTTCTTGAGATTATGGAAGATATGAGCCGATATATGGTATTGTAAAGATTCGATCCTGCAGTAATAAGTTAATCCCAAGCGAATCAAGAGCCGATATTTTCTTTGGGGCCGAGATAGACTAATAGGCAGGACCAAGGTTCAATGTTTACTATCGCCTAACCAAAGTAAAGAGTTTGAGGCAGGACTTGATTGGTGTCATCTGCATTTTAAATCAAAGTATTAAAGCATCAATATAACTGGAATGGGCCATAAATCCATAATTTTGTGAAAACAAACATGGACCAATTTGGAGAGACAGATGGGCCGCAAGTTTCATTTTGCTTTACAGCCAATTGGGAGCAAAATAATAACAAAATCAAGCGAAATAGAAAAACTGTATTTGTCTTTCTATCTCAAAAGGTAGAACAACTTGTGGAGACACAACCATTGGAAGTAGTACATGGCTGCATGCATAATGTGACACACTTCTCTTTTCCAGCACTTTAAAGAAGTGAAAAGCAAAAGAACTTCTACACGAATCTAGACCATTAGATTCCTTTTGTAATACAAAAAATTATATTATTTTGCATTTAACTGGAAAATTAATGTAGCTCAATGCTTACCATTTTCTTAACAACATATAATATAGGGGACTAAATCCGAATGTGTGATACAATGACCTACAAGCACAAATTACTAGACTATAAATCATCCAATCGTATAAAAATGGATATATTTTATTAATTGAAATCAATAATTGGAAAAAAAAAAAAAATAAAAAAAAAAAATAAAATAAAAAATAATTGGTTTTCATTTCTTGAATGTATTTTTCTTTTTTATTCCCCCTTAAACTATGATATTAATACGTAAACTTATTTCAATTTTAAAAATATTGAGAAGGAAAAAAACAATATTTGAAACATCTAACAATTTGAAATGGGAGCAGTATAAAACTACAAGTTTTGTTTTATCAAAAAATTTTTAAAAAAATACTGTACAAGTTTTGTGGAGACACAACAATTGGAAGTTTTGTATTATATATGTCAACAAAATCTAGTTTTTTTATATATGCGGCAAGATTTCTAGACTCTTTCTAGCGCAAATACTATAGACCAACTTACCAATATTAAGAGTGTAATACCAATATGACATCATCAAAAAATAGTCCAAAATTAATTCAAAATAGATGGATGAAAAAAAATCAAATGACAGAATTCTTGATTTGCCATTTATTGAAAAAAAAGTTCAGAGAACTGATAAGCGTTATGCAACAATAATTTCCTTCACGGAATCGAAATAAACATTTTGCTTCCAATAGTCATATGAAAAATTTCACAAATTAAGTATTATAATCAATAATCATCAGAAAGAAAAGGAAAAAACTCACCGAGTGGAAATATAAGAATAATAATTAGAAGTAGAAAAGAATCTTGAAATCATTCATCATGCATAGGTGTCGAAGTGGCGGCAACTCCGAGTTTCTGAAGATTGAGTTTGACGACAGTGTCCACAAACATTTTGGTGTCTTCCTCTGTGTTTCCCTCGGGAATATCAACGGTGTAAGATTCAAGAACCACCGTGTACACCTTGCCTGAATCTTGATTCAAGAACTCGTTGACCGACGTCACTGATTTGTAGTTCTTAAGCCGGTGTTCTCCGCCGACGACCCTGAAGCTTAAAACTCGGTGGTCATCGTCGACAAACTCAAGCCGCTCGGTGCTGGTTGAGGCTGGGAGGCCGGAGATTACGGTCACTTCTCGGACGCTTCCGATACCGCCGTCGCCGGAGATGAGACGGCAGCTTTTGACGAAGTGTTTGTAGCGTTCCGGGTTGTCGAAGCGGCGGATAAGCGGCCAAACGGCGGAGGCGGGTGCGTCGATGCGTTGGGTTATGAGAGAAGTGCAAGTGGATGGGTCCGGTTCGAACCGGTGGTATGTTTTGATAACCGGTTCGAGGGTTTTGTGCTCTTCGTCGGTTAGGCCTTTCACGACCGGGGAGGAGGAGCTCATGGTGATGAATAGGTCACACGTGTGACGTCTCTAGTGGAGAGAATTAGGGTTCTACGAGAGAGAGACAGAGAAAGAAAGAGAGGTCTTCTTGTTGGAGATTGGGGGGTTTGTGAAAGAGATGAGAATAAAAGACAGTTCTTTTTTTTATTATTTGTTTTTTGAATATCAGGAGGTTATGGGTCAAAACCCGTAATCCCCAAACCAGAAACTACATCATATAATATTAATTTCGTCTCATGCGTCACTCAAACCGGCAACCTCAAAACTTCGCCTAGGATCTTTATCAGTTGAGCTAACGATACTTTGTTACTACTATCTTTAATCTGTAAGGTGAAACAAATTTTTATTTCTAAACGTGAAATTTTATTTATTTAAATGTGGTTTTAGTAAAGTTTTAAATCTGATAATACATAATGATAACTTTTGGAAATAATTATTTTTTCAATGAACAGTTACTACACGGTAAGACCGGATCCAACCACCTCCCACATAATCATACATACTAATTGATGAAGCTACTCCAGTATATATTTATTATATATATAAATAAGTGTGGGGGAAATGTTACTTGAATTAAATTTTGTTGGATATGCAAATTCATAAATAAGTAGACAAAATATTTAAATAAAATCCGATCACTCACTCTTTTGCGTTTCGAAAGAACAAAAAAGAAAAGAAAAGAAAGGTGGTGGTCAGAGACTCAGAGCTGGGTTATTTTGTTTTGTAGTTAACGAAATTCTCTGTATTATTCCTTGATTTAGTGGGAAGGTAACACTGTACTGCACATGTATTTAACAATTAGGTATTTTACCATAATAGATGTTCGATGTTTGATCCTTTTTAGAAAGCACTTAATTTAGTTATCCATCAAAGAATTTGTCTTCATTTACGGTTATGGAAAGGTTATGGTATTTGAACTAAGAGCCGAACCGAACTCGACTCGGATATAACTTTGATACAGTACCCAAATATAAATAGAGAAATATGAACTAAAGTATATTTTCTCGTTTCATAATAAGTAATATTTTGTAGAAAAACATACTAAACCCAAATATAACGGATAAAACGCATGTTAAATCACATTTTTGTAACTTGAAAAATAGCAAAATTTACAAACTATTCAAAAATTGGTAAAATCCATAAATGCCATTATGAAAAATGCCAAAATGGCGAAATCAGTATTCATATTTAAAATAGGGAAACTACAACTTTCAATTTTTTTCATACCTCTTTAAAACCCAACATATAGTAAGATGCCCTTGAAAAGTTTGTGTATGTGGCTAGAATTAAGCAGAGATAAGAAGCCTAAAAAGGAGAAGTGGCAGCAGATTAATTAAAGATCTATTCAAGATGTTTTCTCTTGGTAAATTTTATTCAAGATTTTTGTTTAGGGGATTTTATCGAGGATTTCATCAAAATGAACAACCATTTGATTACACCGGTAACTACAAGACGCATTGCTCTTGATTAAGAATTCAAATACATCTAACGTTTCAATCAAGCTTTGCTAGCTAAACAACCATGCATATTATTTCAGGTTTTCAATTGCTTATTTCATGTTTGAGGTAAAATACTTTCCCACGCAAAAGATGGTTTAAAAAAGTTTTTAAAACATAATGTGGGTAATAAGAATTCTTTGAGAGTATGAATTGATCCTTGGATATAAGTTGGTGTGAGGGTGCCACTCACTCGGAATATTTTTGTAGATTTGAATCTTAAGGTGAAAGACCTTCTAGGGTTCTCGAGAATATACTAGAATAAGAGTAGATTATATGAGATTTTCTTTTATGTGGATATATAATTGATTATGTCTTTAAAACCAGCATTTCGCAGCCGGATTTATTGAGTTGGACACATAAGAAGAGTGGAAACTACATAATAAAATCGGGTTACATGTTGGCATGCCAAGTGAACAAAGGAGGTATCCTTCAAGAAGCTATGAATCTACCTTCAGTCTCGGAGAGATTGGTTACCCCTTGTAATTACTGTTCGTTCTTCTTTTTCTTTGTATATGTTCTTGTCCTCTATTTCGGAGATTTTCTATCCTAGTTTCAAGTTCTTGTAATATAGCATTCCTTGGTTTTTTTTTTTTTGTTGAAATGTGTAATTTATTGATCATAATTATGTAAAGTTATATACAAAAACGAATTTTAAAGGAGATAATCAAAACCAGAAGCTATAACAGAGGAAAAGTTCCTCTAAAACCAGAGCAAAAACCAGAAGTCTCACTCATGTGTATGATTTCAATCAATAAATCAGCCGAATGAAAAACTAATTAGAGTTAATTTTTATTATTTAAAAGTAATTGAAATGTAAAATAATGAGTTTTAAAAGCGAAAAACCTATTTTTACTGATTTAAAGATATGCACTCATGTGTATTATTTGGATACTACCTTTTACTCAATTTTTGGAATATTTTAAAATTTTATTCTAGAGTTTATAAAAATGGAGGTTTAAACTGAAAATTTATGAAATATTATTTTCGTAGATAAAAGCTTGTTGGTGACAAAAAGTAGTCAAATTATTAAATTTAATAAAAACTTAACACATACACTACTCCTTCTGTTTCATAATTAGGGATATCCTTAGAAAAAACTATTGTCTCATATTATTTGATATTTTAAACTTTAAGTGCAATATTAGTTAATTTATTAAAAAATTTCTGCCATAGTTTTTTTTAATTAGTTGAATAGTTTTTAGTTAGATAAAATAGTGCTTAAAATTAATAAAAATAAAATTAAACATTTTTTTTATGTATACCAAAACTTAAAAATCACTTACATTGAAAGAGGTTCTAGAAACATTTTTTGCATTTGCTCTAATTCGTTAACTAAGATTTGACTTAGACAATTAATCACCTCGTTAACGACAAATGGCAGAGTCACATTAAATAATTGTAGAGAAGCCATGAGCCCATGACTAATAGAATAGTATGTAGTCTTCGATCTAAATTTTAGTATTTAATAAATTAAGCCTAAGCTTTGATCAATTATTGGTCATATTGTGCATTATTTTATCTTCTACTCATTAAAGGAAAGGTTAGCCTAAAATGGCAACAACTAGTCAAATATCACTTTACTAATTCCAAGGATACAATAATTAAATTAAAACCCGTAGGTACCACCACTTAACGAATCTAAGCGACCTTCAACAATAATATTTGTATTTCTTTCTTTCTTTTATTTTTTATTTTTTTATATTTCTTCAGGCAAGTCCCTATTAAAAAAGGATAACTTAAAGAGTAAAATATGTATTTTGCGGATCAACTATTATAAAACGTTAAAATTTATCTACAAAAAGAACTCTTGATTTTTTTTCTTTTATATAAAAATTCTATAGTGATAAAGATTAAGAGAATTAGAATATTTACTTATTCATGTTTATTTATTTTCTAATCAAGTTATGTTAAACATAATTTAGCCTATACAATATCACTACTCTTGAGATTAATAACATATAATAGAGAGTTTTCTTAAATCACTTACTAATTTATCATGGTATCAAAGCTGATTCTAATTAATTTTGTGGTTAGAATTAAACAAATTTCCATACTAAAAGTCTTGTGTTATTTTGTTTTTTTAATAAGAATATTAATATCATTATAAAACGAAAAGTTTAGGTTATTACAAGATGCATAACCTAAATACATGGTTCCGTACAAAAAAAATATGGAAGCAAAAACCATTCAAACCTCAATGCATCGAAGAAACCTTCATGCAATTAATGCGAAGATCTAATAAAGTTGATCTAAAGAGTCCCCTAAGTAAAAATGAGTCAAAGATCAGGAGCTGAAAAAGGAACAAAAATAGTTGCAAAAGATGAAATGCATAGCGAAAGTCCTTTCGACGTAGAAACAAGGAGAAGCAGAGCTACACGGGTGAATAGCGGGATACAATCCTTACTCACTCTACGAAGTTCACCCTCAAGTCATTAGCGAAGAGCCTTACAACATCACATCCTCTAAAATCCTTACTAGCACCTCCAATCGCAAGAGTCAATCACAAAAACTAGCCTCGACCCTTAAACTTGTGTTAAGTTTCATGAGTTTATGTGCCTTCTCGAGATAATGCTCTTTTAGTTATCTCAATAAAATTGAGATAATTTATTAGCCATCAATAAGTGGGGGGGGGGGGGGGGGGGGGGGGGGGAGGATTAGGCAGAGTCGAACCAACGAAATTGGGATCCCCATACGGATTAAAAAAATAGTCTCAAAAGTTTCAATAGAATAAAAAAAATCATAGTAAAAATAATTAGTTTAAGCAAAACTTTTGATTGTTTTAGAATTTCTTTAAATAAAAGATTTTTTCTTATTCGATTAAAAAATCTCTTAATTTGTAGAAAAAAATAACTTAATATTTCTTTTATCATTCAAATATATATAATAATTATAATTTTTGTGGCAACACACAATATTTTAGGATCTATATACAATAATTAATATACATATATAAAAAAACATTATGTGGGCCCCTCAAAAATGGGGGTCCCATTGCAATGTTTCATGGTAATGTGGTCAAGTAAGGCTCTGGGATCAGGTCACATTCTATGTTTGATTAGCGGGCTAATGTATGTTCAACTTCTAATACCACGTTAAGTTTTAGAGCTTATATCGAAAAGAGGCATTTTAAATTTAATTCTTTCGACAATAGGTACTTTGCACAGTAGAACTTAACAGTGCCCGATTTCTTACCAAAGTCGGACGGTTTTACCCTTATGTAAGGAGCGGGAAGGTGATGGCTGGCGAGCAAGTGGGTTGATGATGTCAGCTTATTATCAAACCTACAACATGCGAGATTTTTCCACAAAGCTGGAAGTCTTTAAGTTTTGTTCACAAAAAAATTGCTAATAACTTATCATTTAAAAGTTAAGAACACAATTATGATGCAAACGCTGGAAAAATACATCTTATATTTTACGGAAACTCGTTTTAGACTAAGAAACTACATATGCGAGAAATCGGTTTTTAAATGTGCTAATTGTATTTGTTTTTCTAAAATAACATCGTGGACAATTTCTATAATTTGTTTTATCTACAACAAAAAGTTAACAAAACATCATTTTCTCTACAAAAAGACATAGTTAAAACTCATAGTAGAAAAAATGCTAAATCTGAATCAACGACTAGTATTCAATACATAATACTGGATTTTTAAAAAGAAGTAAAAAAGTAAAAACGCTAAACCCTAGATTTGGACGAGTAAACCCAAACCATTACAACGACAGTATGCTATGTATATAATGTGCGAGAAAAGTAAAATAGGTAAAGGAGCGAAAATGATATACCCTAGAATTGGACTTGTAAACCCAAACAGTTTAATCGACAATATGCAATGCATACACACAATGACACAACAATACAACCATCCTTATTATCATCAATTAAGATGAACAAAAATCAATGTACTTGTAGACATTATTATGAACATCAATTGAAAAATTAAATTAGCAAAGTATCACTTATTTCTTCTTAAGAGCAACATATGAGTTGAGTTCCTTAACCTGCACAAACACAACATCACCTGAATTTAGAAAACATTAAACAGACCTCAAGGAATGGCATCAAAAATAGGGGAATAAGTGCATACCATAGATTGTCGTCTATCGTTCAACATCTGGTTAGTGTTGGGCTGTTGGCATCATTACCACGTTTAAAGCTTTTAACCTCCCTATAGAAACCTCTAATAAGTCTGAAGGAAGAAGGCATCATCCTCATCATTAGATAATCAAAAAGTTCAAAAGCAGATTCAATCAAAGAAGAAGGAGCAGCAATGTTTACCTCTTACAGTCACGTATTTTTCAATGAGTTCTTCCAGCTGCCTACTCTACCTATTAGCATCTTTGATCTTTTCCAGCTTCTAGAATCCATTTCTGGAGAAACTAAACATCAAAACATTATATAGACAGCCAAACAAAAACGAAACTTCCCAAATCAGAAATGGATAAAAAGCTACACATATTTATTCTCACGATAAAGCACATAATATGTCATTGATTAGTCCTTCGATCTCAGCCAGCTATTTGCTAACAACAAATATTTGATCCATCTCTAAAAAGACAACAATGCCTCTTCTTCAGATCAACACCAACAATTTTTGCAAAGTCGACTCTGGAATCGACTCGCCGAGATTAGATCTGTATGGATCTTGGATTGAATCAGTTCCACATGACGACCTCCAACAAAAAAAAATCGCACCTTGATCTCAAAATCACCGAACAAACAACGCGTAAATCGTAATACCAAACCTGTGGGATCTTTTGCTTTTTGTTTTTCAGATCTCCGAAATGTGGGATGTTAAAAATCGAGATCGCACCTCATGAATCGCGACCAATTGTTAGTCGTCTGAATCTGCCATCATCGCTAACATCACTCTCCGTGATCGATGACCCCGAGTCTCCGACGTTGTTGGTGTTGGTCGCCGCTCACTTCTCGTCATCACCATATTTTTCTCCGACAATTTCGATCCCAAGTTTGAACTACCGTATGTCAAGAAGAACCAGCCTGCAAACTGAAATTACTACAGTACAACAGTAAACTCTTCATGAATAAAATATTTAATTTTTCGGTTCCTGAAGAGTGAAGATGACGTCGATAGTCTAAGGATAGAGATGTCTTTTCACGTCTGAAGAGTGCCTGTTTTCGTAAGGCATGAAACAAGTACCTAAAATGAAATAAATTTCTAAGACAAATGCCTATTTTGTAATTAACTCTAAGTTTTATGGGCTTTCTACTCAAAACTAATTGATAATGAGTCGATTGGCTTATGTCTTTTATATATTAATCAAGTCCCTTCTTATCTTTGTAGTATGGAATCTTTTTCCACAACTTGCACTAAGATGACGATAGAGACCTAAGGAACACGAAGCATCAACTAACTTGTGATCACCAAAGCTGATTTCAGTGCGACATGTCTCGAGATGCTAGAAGTTGCTATAGGCATAATGGAGACAGTGGCCACTGAAGGAGAAGACGGTGACGTCGATGATGGAGATGAAGACGAAGAAGACGTAAGCATCTTAAGGGATGGAGGCCAAGTGATTGTTTTTTTGAAGCTTAAATCGTTTGTCACCATTAGAGATCCAAGTTTAAGCAAAAAAAACCTTACATGCCGAGACAAAGAAAAACCTTAATCATATGGGTGTTGTAGTCAGCGGATTGAGGATTGGGCCCAAAGTCTCCCAATCATCTAGTTGGTAGGACCGACTCTGAAGGCAGCCAAATGAAGCATTTGTTTGGGGTCCTCATTTTAAGTTTTTTTTTTTTTTTTTGATTAAATATGTATATAGATATGGTATATTTAAAAATATGTTTATAAGAATATTACAATTTTTTTTTTTTGAAGTTGATTCTATAAAAAAAAACTTTAATTTGTAATGCATTTTATACACTAAAATAAATTAAATAAATATATAAATTATATAAGAATACTGAATATTAAATATATAATTCTATCATAGGGCACCTATTGTTGATTTGTATTTGGCCCCTATTTTCTCAGGACCGGCCCTGCTACTTATTCTTTCCTTTTGTTTTTCTTTAGATCGTCGATCTCCCATCTTGTTCCAAAAGAAGAGGGTTGGGAGCTTCTGAAAGCTTTTCTTTTGACTATGTCTCTGCTTCTCTGTTCATATACATGTGTTAAGATAAGATTGACGATCTAATATTCACACACCAATAAACATTTTAGCTTCTTAGTTATATATATCCAAGAAAAAAAAAAAAAAAAAAAAAAAAAAAGAAAAACAAAAACTATCTTTAAATTCTTCAAAATCTTTTAAAATAGTGAAAACATTTCTTTATCAATTATTAAAATTTTCTAAAATCTAACTAGGATCATAAATAAATAAGTTAATTTCTAAACCATATATATATAATTTTACTTTTATGTATAATTTTAACTGAAATATAAAAATGACAAGCCGTTGGTGTATTTTTAATAATACTTTTTTCCTTAGTGAAAATAACTTTGTGAGATATGATACAAGCTTAACAACTATAATATTGCTAGAAAGACAACCTAAATATTAGAATTCTAAACATTATGGATCCAAACTGAAGTAAATAGGTATTGAGACATCAAAACTTTAAGCAAATTTTTTATTTTGGGTTTTCACTAAACAAGTTTGAATTCTTTACCGAGTCCCACCACCATACATGCTCAATGGTACAAACTGCATTGGGGTATAGTTGGTGATGCCTAATCCATTCCTTCCCTGACTCGGATCAATTAGATTCCATATGGTTCCATTAACGGTCACCCGAAACACATGAGGATTATGATGATCGTTGGGAAGCTGTTGATGCACCACCTCGGTCGCATGCGGAATCTCAGCTGCAGTCATGAGTTCAACGTATTCAGCATCTCTCTCCATCATTTCCCACCTCTGTTGTCTCTGTGGATCGACCTTTGGTGGGACAACACCGCGATGCTCAGTTTTCAAGTGCTTATTAAGCTGAGAATACGTCCCAGAGAATTTGCAATCCTCTATAGAGCAAGACCTCGGTTTAGCATTCATAAATCTTCTTGCAGTGCTTGTCACGTTTGTCGTCTCGAATACTTCTCCTCTACAGAGAGGACATTGTAAGGTCTTGGTGCTTAAGCGCTTTGTTCTGTTCTTTTTACGGAACTGCTTAAAACAGTTGGAATGACGAACACTCGTATCGCACATGTAAGGATGACATCCACTATAAGAGGAAGAGCATGTCAAAAGGACAGCATTGTGAGGCGGTTCCATGCAGATCACACACCGCACATCCTCCCAACTTGTCTCAATAGGCGACTCAGACGACTTTTGTTTGTCGGTCCTAGAAGACCGAAGCGGGTATGGCGACACTCTGACCTTGTTGCTTGACTCACACATTATACGGTTTTCTTTAGGCATCTCTCAAGCTAAATGATTTCAATATTAACCAAAAAACAACATTCATTTATAAATTACGCAATAAACAAATTCATAATAAAACCAAATAGAAAGTTGGATACTTGGATGATTAGGAGACCATAATTGAACTATACATGTATCAAAACATTTCTTAGTTTTCAATTATCTTATTAATGAGGTTAGAGGAATGAAAATTGAATTTAGACTAAAATTCCAGAACAACGACGATTACTATTCGATGGCAAAGATTTCTGAACAGGCCTACAAAATCGCTAAACGTTAAATATGTATGTCGACCCAACCATGGCCAAGGCCTTATGCATATAATTGAAAGATATAAACCTCTTAAACCTTGAAATAAACGAAACTAAATCACAGATATATTTACTTATTTAGTGTGCACTACTACGTCATGCTTTAAAAAGACCAAATTTATTCAATATATGAGAACAAAAGGTATTCAACAAAATTGCAAGAATTTGGGTCCGTTACACAAATTATTTGGTTCATGTACAATAGTACCGTATTGGTCACCCGTAACAAGATTCTCCCCCAAATTCATCAGATCAGTGAGATCAATATGAGATCGACATGAGAAATCAAAAAGAAAACAAAAAACCAAACATAAGATCTAACATATTAGAGAAATATATATACCTTGGCCAAAGACTTTTAGAGGAAAATGAAAACGATGGAGTTTGGTATCAAACAGTGAAGATTGAAATTTTGACTCTGAATGCATGTTTGTGTGATTTCTATGGCTTTTTATAAGATACTAGTCTTAGAGTATATCTATCTCCTTTGACAAAAATATCCCTCTCTTTTGTATTCAACCTTTTCCACTTTTCTTAGTAAAGGAAACATAATTGTCTTTCTTAAAAAAGTTAGATCATTTTCTTTTGTGCAAGTGAAATTTAACAAAGAAATCTAATTCAATGAGATTCAAAAAGTAAAGAAATCACAATTTTCTTGTGACTTAAGTTTTTAAAGTTAAAAAGTAAAAAATATAAAAATAATCTTTATCAAAAAAAAAAATCAAAAAATAATAAGAAAACATGTTACATAAACTAGACATATACTTTTAAATATAAAGAAAATATACAAATATCACCTTTTTTTATTACATTTATATGAATTAAAGAAATAGAACCATAAAAGTGTTTGATCTTAATTATTATTTTTAACTAATTACATATATTTTACTTTGCCTTAACTCGAATTATACGGCGTTGACACCAATCAAATGTATTAGTAAATAACTTACTAATGACACATAACTCTTTTAAAAAATTTAAATAAAGATATTATGGTGTTGCCATTAGTCAAACTGAGATAACTTATTACTAAATACGCAAGAGAAATTTACTTAATTTATAGGGATTTAGATACCTAGTCAATAGTCGCTAGTCAAAATAAAAATAATAAATTCACGAAAATCCTTGTTCTAAAACGTGGCGGCAGAGGCCTCTTAGACGTCGGACATCATTCAACGGTCCGGAGCCGCCACAATTTCACCATAGGGCAAAAATTCAAAAAATCTGAATTAAAAAGTTATTTTTGTATGTTACATGTTAGAAACCGAATGTTCTATATGGTTCTACATTATTTGGGTGCAAAAAATCAAGGAATATGAAAACAAATGATAAAAATATTGCAAAAAAGTAGTGGCGACCATAAATTAGGTTTGAAGGATTGATAATCGTAAGAAGAAGATGAATGCTAAATGACTAATATACCTTTCATTACAGATCAAATGAAAAAAATCCCAAACTGTTGATTGTTGAATTTGAGATTCGAACCCGTCACCTTTGACCTGATATAATAAACAAACCACGACATCAAACAAAAGTATCTAGGATCTAGATAAAATATTTCTAAACTAATCCCGATTAATGTCTAACGATATTTAAATAAGGTTACAAACACATAAATTTTACTTGAATATAGATAATATGGCGCCAACACTAATCAAAATTATTAGGTAACAAATTATTAAAGACACATATATTTAACTTAACTTAAATGTAAATACTGCGGTGATGACACTAGTTTATATAATAAAATAAAAAAAAAACTATATGAAATGTTATAGTTATTTACTAAGGAATCCTAACGATTTTTATTTGAAAAAATATATACATTTATAAGAATATTAACTTCTAGTTCTAAGAAAATTACTAGCTTGTTAATATCTTTTTTTTTATTTCAAATGAAAATATATATTAGAATAAAATCTTCTCAATATCTATTTTCAACCTCTTTCAAAGATTTGATTTTTTTCCAATTAGTAAATAAAATTAATAATTAAACAAAATTAAGAATCAAATTGAAAATTATTTATCTTCTCGTCGATTGTACTTAAACTTTCGTCTACTACGGCGTATGAGGTGGTGGAAACCGTTGGAACCTTGGACGACCTTATTCCATAAACCTTATGATCCAAAATGCCCTAAACTTTTGTTTCTTTTATGAATTTGAATTTCACTATTAATGAAGATGTTGTAATTAACAGTGGTACAAAGATTGCTGCTTAATCAGCCTAATTTATTATACTAGCCAACAAGAGAAAAATATGGGTACTAGCCATAAAGGCATAAAGTCCTTGAGGCGGTCTATTTCCCTGAAAATTGTGATCGCATTCGTCGAAACATGTATATGCAGTTTTGTGTTACGCTCAATTGTACAAAGTTGAGTGAGCAATCAATTTATTGAGGGTAGATGGAGCTTCTCTTGAACTAGTTGAGCACTAGCAGATCAGAGAATTCCAAGTCATAAACGTGATTGGAGATGGGGTTTCTGTAAGTCACCAAATGCGCATTAGTAGTAGATGGTCCCTTGTCTCCAAATAAGTGTCACAAAAGCAGTAATTTAGGTTGATATTCACCCACATCCTCGATGAATAGTAGAGACAGCGGTCTAAGAGATAATATCATCCGCCATATCCAAGAGTCGCTATTGCATTCCTCAGAAGCCTAGAAATTGTGGGATGATAATCTTTTTGCCTTATTCCATGCTACTCACAGTGATCCAATCTGGTCTGAGAGAAGCCAAATGAGTTTCAAAAATAGAGTTTTGTTCCACACACTTAGTTATCTCAAAATGTCCACTTAGAAGTGAAAAATGATTACTCTTTCTCAAAAGTAATTTCCGAGGTCCACGATAATTCATTCGGTATATTTATGTCCACACAAATAATTTTGGAACATAAAATTTTGAACAATGAAAAAATCCCCCAATCTCACAAAAGTGAGTGTAATATACACTTTTGAAAACAATAGTCCCTTTAGTTATCATTACCCGTATAGCCTTTAGCTTGTGACTAGGTTTGGGCACGATACTCGGATCAAAAAAAATCTGAACCACAATCAAAACCAAAAAATGATTTGGATCGGTTTCAGATCCCCATTTTGTCTTCAACTGCTTTGAGTATCAGCTCAGATCGGGTAAACTCTGAGAACCTAGCATGCTCACTAATAACCTAAAACCAAACTAAATCGATTACCCTTCTAACCTATACTAGGATCAGACCTACACTACAACGCGGAGGAATATTCATCGATATATAATTTATTTTGATCATTATTTGTAATAGAAGTAGGAATATACGTAAAAATTGTTACGGATTTGCATTTGTAGAAATTGCACTCACAATATATGTTTTGATGGACCAACCGTAAAGGATTGCATTCGTAAATATATTAATCATAACCCGCTCTACCATATGATTGTGAGTTTCACAAATCAACCTGTGTACACCTGATATTAGTTGATTAAATTAGGATATTTCAAGTGTTCTCGGATAGTTTTGGCATAATAGGGTAAAAAATATTCGAGCGGAACAATATCCGAGAAAATATCAGTTCCAAACCAGCTCTCGAATCAAATATCCAAACCAATCTAACCCCGAAAATACCGAATCCAAACCAAAATTTTAAAATATCCAAATAATCCTTATGACCCTTAGTACCAAAATATCCGAACCCGAACCCGAACCCAAACCCGAACCCGAACCCACACCCGAACCCATACACAGATGCCTAGGCTTACTTGTGACCGAAACCGAATAGAATCATATCTAATTTCAGTTCACCTGTTATAGATTCTCTGGTCAGCCGGCCTAAAGCTTACTCCTTTCAACTCTCTTTGCCATCGACCTTTCTGGAGCCTAGGGACTGATCCGATTCATTGATGGATTTGATGGAGAAGAACTTGGAGTTAGTGGAGATTCAGAAACTTGAAGGCCACACCGATCGGGTTTGGAGCGTAGCTTGGAACCCTGTCTCTTCTCACGCCGACGGTGTTTCACCGATTCTTGCTTCTTGCAGTGGCGATAGCACCGTTCGAATCTGGGAACAAAGCTCTCTCTCTCGCTCCTGGACTTGCAAGGTCTCTCTCTGATTTCTCTTTCTTGCAAGAAAGTTGTAACCTTTTTTTGACCTGGAAAGTTCTATTGATTCTTTAGGTCAGTCTTACATTACAATTTGTGGGTTTTGTTTCAATTCACTAAAAAGATTAACTTGACCTTAAACATGGAATCGACTGGTGATTTGGGTATGGTGTAGAAAGATTTATTGATTGTATATTGTGAATGCTCAGACAGTTTTGGAAGAAACGCATACAAGAACTGTGAGGTCATGTGCTTGGTCACCCTCAGGACAGTTATTGGCCACTGCAAGTTTTGATGGCACCACTGGCATTTGGAAGAATTACGGTTCTGAGTTTGACTGTATTTCCACTTTAGAGGTAATATCAAGCTCAATCTTTCACTTGTAATTGTTTTTCCATCGGAAACAAGAATGTCTTGATCAATCCACAAATGCTCACCCAGGATTAGTTCTTTGAACTTGAAAGTAGCACTGATATATCACAGCTCCTTTTTTGCTCTTTTGACTTTGTTCTTACTTGAGCTGTAATGCTGAGTTCCTCTTATTGCAATCCAACTCCTTTGGAAATCTTTGTTCTATTAGCTAGATCCCCCTTGACTTATCAGAGTTACTACTATTAGTCTCATCGATTTTTGTGTTCACTTCATAACTCAATTTCATTAGGCTCCAAGTTGTTTGGTGGTTTTCTTGTACTGTCTTTATGATTTGTATCACTCGTTTTTGATGAGTAGAATCTTATTAAAAAACTGTATGTAGGGACATGAAAACGAAGTCAAAAGTGTATCATGGAATGCATCTGGTTCACACCTTGCAACATGTAGTAGAGATAAGTCTGTTTGGATTTGGGAAGTGCTTGAAGGGAATGAGTATGATTGTGCTGCGGTGTTAACTGGGCATACACAAGATGTGAAGATGGTTCAATGGCATCCTACCATGGATGTGTTATTTTCTTGCAGTTATGATAACACCATAAAGGTAATGAGAATACTCTGATTACGTTTTAGTAATGCAGAATTAGATATTTGTTACACAAAAACAAAAAAAATAGATATAATTGATTAACGCTAGTGGCGTGCTACTCACAGGTTTGGTGGTCTGAAGATGATGATGGTGAGTATCAATGTGTCCAAACCTTAGGTGAATCTAACAAGTATATCTTCTACTTTTTTTTATGCTTTCGATTTTTTTCTTATTAGGCTCTTACTTTTTGAAGAAGTAGATTAATATATGCCTTTATTCTTCACACAGCGGTCACTCTTCTACGGTATGGTCCATCTCATTTAACGCTGCAGGGGACAAGATGGTCACTTGTAGGTTAGTGAATCTTCTCTCCTTGTCTCCCATAGGCATTCTAAAAGCAATGTAATCTGTCTCTGAGATATTGTTCTTACAGTAGCAAGCTTGCCTGAATGTGTACTTGCAGTGATGATCTAACATTGAAGATATGGGGGACAGATATTGCCAGGATGCAGTCTGGTGAAGATTATGCACCTTGGTGAGAATATAATTGCTTACATGTTATCGAATTTTATGTTTCTTACGGTTTAGGAGCTGGGCATAATATGCAGCCTACGAGATTCTGTTACTTCTCCAAGAAATGCTCCGTCCAACTTGTACTAATGTAATCCTTACTTGCTCGGACTTTGCAGGATTCATCTTTGTACTCTCTCTGGTTATCATGACCGTACCATATACTCTGCTCACTGGTCAAGGTATTGACACCTCACATGGTTTCTTTAAAGCATGGCGTAACTCTGCCTAGTTTCTAAATCTGCCAGCCTAAAAGGAAAAACTCTTTGTTGTACCTGTAATTGCACTCCTAGTCATCTGATCAAATGTATCCAGATTAGGGATTTTCATACCATTTAAACAAGCTATATTGTTTTCTTCTCCAATGTTTTTCCGTGAGTCCACGCTGAGTTTGAAATCCCAGAAGTTTACTATATATCTTCTGGATTTTCTTGAGTTTTGTTTTCTTATCCTTTTCTTTCAAAATTTTGACAGGGATGACATTATTGCCAGTGGAGCAGGCGATAATGCTATACGGTTGTTTGTTGACAGCAAAGATGACTCTGTAAGAGAATTTCATCTTATGCTTCACTTCAAAACTAATATCCTTTTTATCTCAATGTGTTCTTTAGTAGAATTTGGCAATATATTTCCATATACACGCCCAACTTACATAGCACACAGTACAAGAAACCAAATGCTAGCAGCAGATTCTATTTTTCCTAGTCTTGCCACTGGTTTACCACTGTACAATTAAACACTTCTGCTCATCTTTGAACTTAAAGTAATTTGTTTGTGTACCAGGTTGATGGACCTTCATATAATCTTTTGCTGAGGAAGAATAAAGCACATGAAAATGATGTAAACTCTGTCCAATGGTCACCCGGTGTAAGTTCCATGTTTCTTATGAAGTAATAGACACAAATGCATAACTATTTCATACTTGATACATGGTTGCAATAATGAAGTATAGTCTATATGTCATCGTATAAATTTGACTTAGAAGTTAGAACATAATACTCGAGCTTTGTTTAGGATCAGAGAAATGATGTCATTGATTACTCGACTTACATTGGCTCAAGTACATGTGGTTATGTTGTCTATGATTTTGACCTTGCGATTGTTACCTGCAACAGGAGGGGAACCGGTTGCTTGCCTCGGCTAGTGATGATGGGATGGTCAAGATTTGGCAGCTTGCAACTAAACCGTGACTGGTGTTGGTTTGGATAGATTCTGAAACTCCTATGATGTTTTTTACTCTTCCTGAGGTCTCTCTGTAACAACATAACATTTTAGGTAGAAGTGAACTCTATACTATTTTGTCATACGATATAAGCTCCATGATGTTTCATAAGATTTTTTTTTTTTTTTTTTTGGTAGGTATAAGATTTTTCTATTTTACTTTTACCCACCATCACTTTTAAGTTTTAAACTGTTGGTACAACTTTGTGAAATAAAATAAACTATTATGAAACAAGTGTGATTTTCCATCACAAAAACATGTCATTACACATGTCCATAGCCCATAGGTTGGACACTAATTTTTATGTGTAACACTTGTTATTACATACACTAGGAATCAAACCCCTCGTGATGTAGCGGGGGAAAGTATTATAAATGATGTCGCGGGGGAAAATATTATAAATTTTTTGAAGGATTATGATAAAAAGAATACAATCGTACAATATACTTATTAAGAAGATTACCTTTCAATTTTGGGCTATAAATCATCTCTTTAAAAAAGAAGGTTCCATTTTTAAATGAGTGCAGAAATTGAATATTTGGTAAACAAAATATATAAAGTTCGAAAAATATGAACATTGACACAACTATTTGTAAAATATTTAACTTTTAGAAAGAAAAATTGTGATAAAAATACGAATAAAATATGGTAAAAACTAAAAAGATACCATTGTAAATGACTAGAAGCAACTTTGTAAAAAGACGTAACTGTTAAAGATATTTTTAATTAATAAATTTAAATATTTAACGAAGAGTTACAATGATCAAATGCAACCATACAAAACATTTATTTAAATTAAAAATAAAATAAAAATATTTTACGAACGGTTTTCAAGAAAAGACGAAAATGGGTGAAAAGACACAATTTTAAATGACTAGATGCAACTTTGTAAAATACATAATTGTACAAAATATTTTTTCAATTATTAAAAATTAAAATAAAATATTAATGAAGGGTTACAATGAAAAGACACAACCATAAAAAGTATTTATTCAGATTTAAAATAAATAAAAATATTTTACGATCTATTACGATGGAAAGGCGCAACCATAAGAGATATTTATTTAGATTGTTATTTGTGTATAAAATATTTAACGAAGAGTTACGATGAAAAGACTTAACCATATAACACATTTATTCAGAGAAAAAGTAAAATAAAAATAGTTTACAAAATGTTACGATGAAAAGACGCAAACGGGTGAAAGAAGAGTTATAATCTAGAGATTGCGACTGTAGATATCAAATATAACAATGGTTCATAAAAAAAAAACAAAAATTGCAATGCTTCGTCAAATAAATCAAATGTTGCAATGGTTCAACTAAATTGTTGCAACTACTTATTTAAATGTATTTTAGTAAATTTTTATGAAAAATTATATCGAGACACGCGACCGTAGATATCAAATATGTCAAAGGTTGCAGGTTCGTCGATCAAACTAAATGTTACAACGGTTAATAAAATAAACCAAAAGTTGCAAAGATTAGTCAAAAAAATAAAGGTTGTAGCAGTTCAATTAAATGGTTTGCAAAAACTGATTTAAATAAATTAAAAAATATGTATTTTATGAAAAATTATACCGAGAAACGTTATTATAGATGTTGCAACAGTTTTCAAATAAATTAAGGGTTACAGTGGTTCATATAATAAACAGAAAATTACAATGGTTCGTAAGTAAACCAAATGTTGCAATGATTCAAATAAGGGGTTATAAAAATTTATTTAATACTTTACTAATTAATTATAATAGAAAATATATTTTGAAGAGTTACGATCAAAAGTCGCGATCGCTGAAATGACTGTAAAAGGTATTTTAACGAAGATATACGATAAAAAGACAACCGTAAATATTTCAACGAAAATATGCGATAAAAAGACACAACAAAAAAAAATAACCGTAAATATCTAACAAAAAGTTGCGTTAAAAAGATACAACCATTCAGAAATGCAATAGACATTGTGATAAAAGGACACAACCGTAAAAATAACCGAAAATATTTCAATGAAACGATGCGATAAAAAGACACAACAGAAAAAAACCGAAAAAAATTTGTTAATATTTTAGCGAAAAGTTATGATAAAGGACACAATCCTTCAGAAGTGCTTGCGATAAAAAGACACAACTGTAAAAAAATAACCATAAATGTTTCAATGAAAAGATGCGATAAAAAGACATAACCGAAGAAAAAAAACAAAAAAAAAACTGTAAATATTTTAACGAAAAGTTGCGATAAAGGATACAACCATTGAAATGTGCATGCGATAAAAAGACACAACTGTAAAAAATAAACCGTAAAATTTTCAACGAAAATATGCGACTAAAAGACACAACCAAAAAAAGTAACAGTAAATATTGTAACGAAAAGTTGCGATAAAAAGACGCAACCGTTCAGAGGTGAAAAAGGTATTTATTGAGATTGCTGTTATATATAGATTTCACACTTGTCATTAGACATAAACACTTGTTATTACATCTTTAGATGTGTATGACTAATCATCTCTTTTCTTTTTTTATAAATAGGAGTTTGATTCAAGAAGAGAATTGTATATAAGAAAGTTACAAGAAACTTAAAGAGTTGCTCTCTCTCCTCTCTCCTCTTTATCATAAGTTTTTATTTAAATTTTATATTTTGCATCACGTTATCAGCATGATCGTCTCTCTGTCCGAGCATCTACCGATAGTCTTCCTACTAGATAAATCTCTTGGTCATTCCATCCCGTAAAACTAAGAAACCATTTATATATTAAATTTTATGTTAATTTTTTTGAATTTATTAATTACGGAGTAGTAGGTTATGCCTCTTCATTAATCGAGTGATAGGCTATGCCATTTTGAAATTCTAGGAATGATTTAATAATTGATTAATCATTCATATAGATCATTATGTCAAACTAGGAGAAACCTGATATCGTTACCCTTGATCTATCTGGAAAAATTACATGAGATGGGCATCATGCATCTGAAATCAAATGAGCTTCTTAGCACCTTGCAAGGCTATGGTATTCCTACGCCATCATCTCCATGATAGTTTAAAAATGAGTACATCACGAAAGAGGATCATGTGGATCTTTGACAATCACTCAAAGATAGGTTTGATCACCAGAAATATGTGATCTTACCAAAAGCTAAGCATGAGTGGTTAAATCTCCGATTCCTAGATTACAAAAGTGTTAGTGATAATAATTCCACCATGTTCGGAATCACTTCCTGGATGATTTTATGTGGTGAACAAGTAAGTGATTACGATATGATTGAAAAAAGACTCTCGCCTTTTCATCCTGGAAATATAATCCTGCAAGAACAATATCGGGTCAAAGGTTACACTCGATATTCTGAATTGATGCAAGTTCCTCTTGTTGCTGAACAAAATAATGAACTCGTGATGATGAATCATCAAACTCGTCCAACTGGATCAGCTCCACTTCCAGAAGTGAATGTTGCCTTCTCCACTTATAATAATGGGCAAGGACGAAGACGCGAACGCGGTCAAAACCGTGGTCGTGGTCGTGGAAGAGGCCGTGGGAGAGGACAAAGAAGGGGTCTTTATTCTAAAAATTTTAACGCGAAAAAACCCAACAAAATTTTTCAAGTGAATGATGTTGGTCTCATTATAAAGAAACAAGATGAAAATACTTGTTACAGATGTTGCATGAAAGGACATTGGTACAAAACTTGTCGTATATCAAAACATTTGGCCGATTTGTATCAAGCTTCTCAAAGGACAAAAGAAAGAGATGTTGAGACCAACCTCATCTATGACGAAGCTCGACTTTCCTTCCATGGACTAAATGATGAAGCTCATCTTGATATCGCAGATTTTCTTGTTGATCAAGAAAACGGGAAATCATGTAAGTAAAATCGATATAACATGATATGGTTGTATTAGTATTATAATTAGTTTCATGTTTAAAGTTTTTTTGAATAGTGGTTTCATTGTAATATATCTTAACTTTTTGTAACACTTGTGTTATATCACTAATGCATATTTTATAAATGTTTTATCTCAGAATATGTCAAATTTTGAAATTCAGGATGGAGATATATGTCTAGTAGACAGTGCCACAACACATTCAGTACTTAAAGATAAAAAATATTTCTCCTCTCTTAACATAAAGGACACCGCATGAAGCGTGAGTACCATATAAGGCTATGCAAAGATCATTATGGGCTCTGGCAAAGCCAATTCCACAATACCAAGGGGAACTCAATTTGAAATAAATGATGCATTATATTTTCCTAAATCTCATCTAAACTTGATAAGTTTCAAGGATACCCGAAGTAATGGATATTATATCAAGAGGAAATATGTATTAGAAGAATTACCAATGTTATCTTGTGGTGTAGATTATATTGCACAAAGATAAATCTTATCGCATCATATAGTACAATAAACTCGAGGTTTACTAGTACCTTTAAGATATGACATGAAAGACTTGGACATGGTGCAGTCATGATACGAAAGATTGTAGAAAATTCTAATGGCCATCCAATGAAAAACCAGAAAATATTCCAATCTAATGAGTTTTCATGTGATGCATGTTCTCAAGGAAAACTCATAATTCGGCCATCACGAGCTAAAGTTGGGAATGAATCGCCAATATTCTTAGAGAGAATACATGGTGATAAATGTGGACCTATCCACCCTTCGTGCGGACCGTTTTGTTATTTTATGGTAATGATTAACGCATCTAGTAGATGGTCTATTAACAATACGAAATACGGCTTTCGCAAAATTCATTACCCAAATAATCAAGTTGAAAGCACAATTCCCTGATTATGTCATAAAAATGGTCAGGCTTGATAACGTTGGTGAATTCACTTCACAAGCCTTTAATGACTATTATATGTCAATGGAAATCGATGTTGAGCATCCGATCCCTTATGTTCATACACAAAATGACATGGCTGAATCTTTAGTTAAACGGCTGTAAGTCATTGCTAGACCATTAATATTGAGAACAAGTTCCCAATTTCTATATGGAGTCATGCTATCTTGCATTCTGCGGCATTGGTCCGGATACGACCAAGTGCATACAATAAATATTCCCTTTTACAGTTAACGTCTGGCCAAGAGCCAAACGTAACCCATCTCAAGGATTTTGGGTGTGCGGTTTATGTTCCTATAGCCCCACCACAAAGAACAAAAATAGGGCCACAACGGAGATTTGGTATATACGTCGGTTATGTATCACCGAGTATAATTCGATATCTTGAACCGCAAATTGGTGATTTGTTTACGACACGTTTTGTCGATTGTCATTTTCATGAAGATAAATTTTCAGCATTAGGAGAAGAAATTAAACAAGTGGTAAAAGATATTACATGGTGCACACCATAGTTGGTATATCTTGATCCCCTTACAAATCAACGTGAGCTGGAGCTTCAGAAAAATGTATATTTACAGAATATAGAAAATCAATTACCAGAAGCATTCACAAATACAAAAAGGGTGACAAAGTCTTGTATTCCCACTGCAAATGCTCCATCAAGAATTAAAATTTCTAGAGAGAAATTGAAACGTGGGAGACCAATGGGCTTTAAAGAACTCCTATGGTCAATAAATCTTTTAATGTTGAAAATGATCCATTCAGACCTTGTAAAGATAACGAAAAAATACTTTGTCTCGAAGTACCTTATATGAGTGTAATCGGTGGACTTATGTATCTTGCCAATTGTAATCGACCAGATATAGTCTTTGCTACTAATCTACTTGCAATATACAATTTATCTCCTATTCTGAGATATTGGAATGGAATAAAGCATATTTTTCGTTATCTTCAACGTACAATCGATTTGAGATTATTTTATCCTAGAAACTTCGAGTTTGTTTTAGTTGGTTTTGCAGATGCATACTATCTATCAGATCCCCATAAATCTCGATCACAAACTGGATATGCTTTCACCATTGGAGGAACTGCGATCTCGTGGCATTTTCGAAAGCAAACTTTAGTCGCCACTTCTTCAAATCATGCAGAAATCATTGACCTTCATGAAGCATGCAGAGAATGTGTATGGCGTAGATCTATGACTAAGCATATACAAGAAGCAAGTGGAATAGTCATCAGAAAAGAACCAACAAGATTGAATGAAGATAATGCTACATGCATGTGTTGCCCAAATCAAATAAGGTTATATCAAGAGAGACTGAACAAAACATATCCCTCCAAGATTCTTCTCCTACACTCAAGAACTCGAAAAGAACAAGGAAGTTTATATTCAGTACTTCCGCTCAAGTGACAGTGCAGCAGATCTATTCACAACCACATTGAGAAAGCATATTCATAGTATCGGAATGCGACATCTACATGACCTATGCAGAGAAGATTAGATATCTTTTCGAGGGGGAGTTTTTAAAGTACCAGCGAGTTGCGCGGAATTTTAATTTAAAACGTTTATTAGTACGAATCTTTGAGTATAAATATAATTATTTGAATTTTAAAAGATTTTACTTTACTCATTTGCATTATTTTCAAAGTAGTTAAAATTTTTTCACTTTTCACTACCGTTTATTTCGTTATCTTCTATGATTCACTGTCATCTCTCGACATCTACTCTCTTTTCACCTTACATTGGTTCATATATAGTATCTTCGACTATGAATTAGTTCTCAAAAATAGTATATTTCCTATCTTTCAATACTCAATTATTTTTTATTCTTTAATTTTGGTATTTTGTTTAACTCTTATTTTCTTTAGTCTACTAAATATTTGTAATTAGTAAAAATAATTGTTGTACCATAAAAATATATGATAAGTTTTTTGTCTTTCTCTAACCATTTAAATATATTTACTTGTTATATGTAAAGATATAATTATCTAATTTTAATTTTTTTTAAAAAATATTTAATTTTTTTTTTATAAATTACTGTTTTTCTTTAATGAAACATAATAATAGAGAGTCTTTGAATTAATTTTATTTTTAATGTTTTGTTGTAATAAATAATATATGTGAAACCTATATGAAAAAATATGATGACATGGATGATGATGTAGACATCCTAAGAGGAGAAAAAACTCTCCCATTATATATATAGATGGCTCATGCGTCAAGCTCGAGAGACATTATAGTAGTTTAGTTGTACTGATGTATGTTAGTGATATGACAACTGACAATGCATGTTTGTCTTATTTTTAGTAGATTTTGTCATTAAATCGCAAATGTAAGGAGAAAAAAGAAGGAAAAAATAAAAAAGAAAAGCAAACTTTTGGTCTTTTAATTATTCAATCAAATATTCAATTGTATTAATCTGATTAATTTAATAAAATATTATAACATATATATCCAAAACATCAAATTAAGTTGTTTGAATGAATTTAAATATGAGTACATTTCTATCAATATATGTTGATGTTATTAAAAAAAACTTATAAAAATAAACTGATCAAAACTAAATAGATATGAAGAAAAACATAAGAAAATATGAGCAAAACATAAGGTAAATATGATAAAATAAAGTATTACAGGTTCAAAAATTGGTATATTAAAACAAAAATAAACGATTAGTAATTACCAACTACGCATAAAAGAATGTAACAAGATGAGAAGATGAATAATTAACTCATATTTTTGTTTTAAAGGATTTTTTTTTACTATAAAATCACACGATTGACACCAAAATCTTGCTTCGAATAAACATTTTTCAACCCAACTAAGACATTGCAGATATTAAGGTGATTGACAACCGCCGATTCCTATATTACATGTGTCTTAAACTCTTAATCAGTTACTCAACTCAACCAATTAATTAATTATTACATATTTTTTCTCACACCTAAAATATAATCATTTTTGGATAATTTGGACCCATTTTAAGAACATTTTACTGTGGTGTTAAAGCATATAAAATGTACAACGATTACAAACAAGATAGTGAAACTCTTCGCCGAGCCAACAATAATATTAGTGACTGTAGTGCCACATTGGCACATCATGTTTTCAAGTGGAGTAACTGTGGTTATACCCCTTTGACATGGAATTAGAGGATAGTTATAGCATTGCATTTTTTTTTATTAAGAATCAAAACATGTAACTCAAGTTTTTTTTGAATAAAAAAGGCATACACAAACGATTACAAAGATTATAATCATTCTGGAGACAGGCCAAGCAACGGAAGCAATGGATTAGAGCATCAAAATTTTGAGGGCATTTTCTAGGCAAATTTTCTTTAATTATTTTATATATAAACTATATTATCGGTTTTTATAAGAATAATATTTTGCGGAGCTGTTTTTTAATCATACTTGTTGGTTTTGACTTAACAAAATATATATTTGTGTATAATATATATATAATTGTTTTCATAAATAGGTTGATTTTATTAAAATGTTTATTTACAAAAGAGTTTTAACGTTTATAATCAATTAACCTTACTAAAAAGTGTAAAAGATAAGGACACAACATATATATCAATCAAGAAGTAAACATAATTCAAATTAAGGAAATGAATCCAAATCTAGTTTGTAACCCAAATAATTCAAAGAATATAATCAAAAAAACAGAATTCAAATAATTATAAGCACAATTAAAAAAAAACAGATTCTTAAGGACATTATTAAACACAATATAAACTAAACAAAATTTAACAAAAAATTAAACTAACATTTGGTTATAAGTAGAAATTATTTAAAAAATAAATATATATTTTTCGTTAGAGGATAAATTTATTTATATATTGTATTTTTTTGTTGCCTTAAAACCCTAATATGCATTTCTATATTTTTAAATTTATTGTAGTAAAGTTAGATTATGAATCACCAAAACTTTTGCCAAATATTTATTATTATTATTATTGCCAAATCGCGAAAACGTGGTTTTGCAATCTCGTCTAGAATATAATTCATCAATCTTAGAAAATATTTTAGTTGCAAATCATTGGTTAAACCGTCATCTTATTTACATTTATTAACAAATTTACTCTTTACTTGATCACTAAAAAAATGTTTTTACATCCAATTATTTTTAGTGGTTAAGTATTTTCACTACCTACAAAATATCTCTATGAAAACAATAAGCCAAATATATGTCTTATTAAGATGGAGCTCCTCCCACTCCCCCTAAGTTTCCTCCAAATACTCATAACTCTCCTAATCTCTTAGACATCTTATATAGACGGAGACTCATTAGAACTCCCTAAACAAACCATAGTTACATGACATTACCCCACACCAAACCATAGTTAATTTCTAATACTTTGCAATTACTAATAAGCGCTTGGAGCCTCGAAACCCATTGATTATATCACACATCACCTGTGAATAATCTATGGAGAAGAAAATAAGGGCTCGTTTAATGGAGTTGAAAGCTAGATGGTGCCAAAAGGAAAAGAGAACAATTCTTAAGATTAACATAATTTTGGTAGTACATTATATTTATATTTCTCTCTTACTGCTTAAGTAATAATGTTCTTAAAACAGTAAGTAGCAATTATGAACCAGGCAAAGAGTAGTACTGAGAACGAGGAGAGACCGATCAGGAATGGCCAGCCGACAAACGCTACCCCCAAAGATGTGACCAAAGCACATGGCAGAAATGACCGGACTACTGATGAAAGACTGATCCATTTCCCTTTGATCATGAGTAAAATAGCAACATTCACCATATTCCACTCCATTGAGCCACCATAGCAAAGACGGTTGAGACAGTTAGCAACAAACGAATGGCAGTTACAGGTGAAGAGATTGTAGGTTTTATGCTCAAAGCTGCGTGTGCTCGAGCTCAGTGCATTATCCCATGTACGCGCGGTTCCAAAATCGGTGTGTGTGAATCCATACTTGCAAGTATGCCCACCAAAATTTGGTGGTAAGCAACACTGCCACAAAACACACATTTGATAAAGTAAACATCACTAAAGATTAAAAAGATCTTATCTTTGATACAAAACTAACAAAGCCTATGCTTAACCAGATACTAATACCTTGGTTCTATCGAGTTGGAGATACCGAGCAGGAGGACCAAATGCAAAATCATCAACATTGATGAAGTTAGATCCAGCAAAGTCCAAAATGACTCCATCTTCTCTGCAAAGTCCTATATGACCAATGAAGGGAGCCAACCAAGAGACAACAGGAAGAGGAGTCCAAACAATACAGCAAGGGAATTTCGACTTTTTGGTATCAATCTCAGGTAGTGGCCATAGATCAGCATCATCATCTTCGATTATGGATGGCATAGAGACCACCCCGCCTTCAACATCATAACTTCGTTTCATGTCCTTCATAGGAACTCCTCTTCCACGTGACATTTGTAGATTCCTAATAACACATCATTATTAGTCCAAACAAAGAGAGACCCATTTACTAAAAGAATCGAAAGTTTAAATCTTTTGATCAAAATGAAGCAAAAGTTTCAATCTTTTTAACAAAGCATGCGGTATATTGATTCTCACAGCACTAATTGTGTAGTAATCTCCCTAATTTGAGTCTAATTCAGATTTTTAGGACGAAACAGCATTGTGGGTTTCTCTGTAAATTTAACGGAAACTAAACAAAACCCATCAAAGCATTTCCATAGAAAACAGTCAAAACCCAAGAACTAAAACCACAAACACTAAAACCAAAGCAAAAGCTAAAAATTAGGGAAAACAGTAGACTGTGTTTCCCATTTACCTGTCGGAAACTCCGACGCCGAAGGCTGAAGGATCGACGCAGAGAGAGAAAGAATCGATGAAAGTGATGCGAGAGCTCGGAGAAGGAGAAGAAACTGATGATGCTTTGTGGATTTTGATGAGAAAAGAGGAGATTTTTATAATGGGTTTTGTAAAGTAACGCTTCTTCTAGTTTTAGGAATTCATTGAAGACATTGGAGAAAGGTACAATGAACCTTGGTTGTTTATCAATTACTGCACTGTCTAATTTATTAAATTAAGTTAATTATTTTAAGGAAAAAAGGACTTTTGCTTTATCATTCAAAACATAGAACAAACAAATGAACACTACTAGAAATCTTTGAAATATCCCTCTGAATTGCAGTTTCACTTTCCGAATATAGAGCTAAGAAATTAAAATATTTGAATTTTGAATACTCTTTATAAGCTCAAAATTAAAATAGAATATTGAAGAGAATCCAATGTTTTTTTTTGGGCGTCAGAGAATCCGATGTTTAAATATTTAGTTTCCGTAAAATTTGGAGACGATTTAAAAAATTCAGAACTTTTGATCGATTATTCTTAATTTGTCGTATGGATTACCGTTGTCGTTATACATTATGGTTGGGTAAACGAACACACAGAAACCTTAATCACTATTACAGGTATAAAGTGACATTGTATTTATGCCAATTCGACAATTTGTATGTCTTTCTGTCAGACGTAACGGTTTTTTGAATCTAGAAAACTTTCTTGATTTAGAGTCCTTACATCTATCATTGCTCCTTGTCTTTTTGAGACGGTCCATGTGCATCTGACAACTGACAAACAGAGAATCCGGTGTTTAAATATTTAGTTTCCGCAAAATTTGGAGACGGCTTATAAAATTCAGAATTCTTGATCGACTATTCTTAATGTGTCGTATTGATTACCGTTGACCTTATATTTATGACAATTCGACAATTGTTTATGTCTTTCTGTCAAACGTAACGGTTTTTTGAATTTAGAAAACTTTCTTGATTTAGGGTCCTTGCATCTATCATTCGTCCTTGTCTTTTTGAGACGAATCATGTGCATCTGACAACTGGCTTAGATGTTTTGTAATGATCGATCAATGGGAGTTACTCCTCCATTTTACTTAACCCTACTTCAACATCAATTTAACATGTTACTCAATAAGTCACGTGGCATGAGGCATATTTCCTTTAAATGCATAAATTAATAGATAACACGTAACGGGTTTAAGAATCTAAAGTTTCTTGTATCAGGGTTCTTGCATATATATATATATATATATATATATCATTCGTGTTTGTCTTTTTGAAGCAAACCATGGGCCTGTGATAACTGGCTATAATGTTTTGTAATGGTCGATCAACGGGAGTTACTCCTTCTTTTTACCTAACCCTACTTCTACATCAATACAACATGTTACTCAATAAGTCATGTGGCATAAGGCATATTTTTAAGAAATGCATAAATCAATAGACAGAACGTAATAATCAATACGATCCATGTGCATCTGACAACTCACAAACAGAGAATCTGATGTTTAAATATTTAGTTTCCGCAAAATTTGGAGATGACTTATGAAATTCAGAACTCTTGATCGACTATTCTTAATGTATCGTATTGATTGTCGTTGTCGTTATTCATTATGGTTGGGTAAATGAACACATGGAAACCTTAATCTCTATTATAGATATAGAGTAACATTGTATTTATAACAATTCGACAATTGTTTATGTCTTTCTGTCAAACGTAACAGTTTTAAGAATCTAGAAAACTTTCTTGATTTACGGTCTTTGCATCTATCATTCGTGCTTGTCTTTTTGAGACGAATCATGTGCATCTGACAACTGTCGTTGATGTTTTGTAATGATCGATCAATGGGAGTTACTCCTCCTTTTTACCTAACCCTACTTCAACATCAATACAACATTTTACTCAATAAGTCACGTGGCATGAGGCATATTTCCTTTAAATGCATAAATTAATAGATAAGACGTAACGGTTTTAAGAATCTAAAGTTTCTTGTATCAGGGTCCTTGCATATCTATCATTTGTGTTTGTCTTTTTGAAGTAAACCATGGGCACGTAACAACTGGCTATGATGTTTTGTAATGGTCGATCACTGGGAGTTACTCCTTCTTTTCACTTAACTCTACTTCAACATCAATTCAACACATTACTCAATAAGTCATGTGGTATTAAGGCATATTTTTAAGAAAATGCATAAATCAATAGATAAAACGTAACAACTTTAAGAATCTAAAATACTTTCTCGATTCAGAGTCCTTGCATATCTATCATTCGTGTTTGTCATTAAGAATCTAATAAGAAACTTAAATTGTTGCTCTTTTCTCTCCTCTCCCTTTTTTCGTTGTGATATTTCCTTGTTTAGATATTATATTTCTCAACATATCCTTATTTGATAGGGAAAAATCAACCCCAACATATATATATATATATATATATATATATATATATATAGAACGAACTATATATTCTATTCAAAAAAATAATGAAAAAATTGTCGTCGAACTTGTGTTTTTAAAAGTTCACTCTATACTCTACAGGTCTCCGTTTATTTTCTACTAGTTGGAAAAAGAGATTATAAACTTTTTTTGGTTTATTTTTGACAATAAAAATACAAAAGTGGAGTTAAATCTAACTCTACAAAAAGGAGAAAGAAAAATAACTACTAAAAACTTTAGATTCCTTTCCTTTAATTTTGTTTTTCCTCTCAGTTCCACTTTTTACTCTACATGCAACCATTGAGAGCCTGCATTTTGTTAATAATCCCAAGAATTATGGTTATTTTGCCAAATTTCCTAATTATAAACTGAAAAAACAAATATCCTAAGAATTCAAACTTTTTCCAAAGAGACCATATGTCATAAATATAACCACGATGGTGATCACATCATCCGAATCGAATGTTAAAAAGTAAAAGAAAGTGGAATATATAGAAATGTAATTTATTAGATAAATGAGGGAGAACTTAGGACTACGTATGTACATTGTACAGGAAGTGAAAGTGAAAGTGATGATGAGGCTGGGAAGAAAAGTAAAAGCCGTAAGTAAAGATTTGTTTCTGGATCCGGTGTGAGTCCGAATCGCTTCATTGTGGCTTCAGGTGTGAGTGTGAATCGCTTCATAGTGACTTGATTTAAGCAGACACTGCAGCTGCAGCCTGTTCTTCGGTCGCCGGTTGGAGAGTGCACACCAGATTACGGTCTCCATACACGTTGTCCACACGCCCTGTTTCACACATATTTTACATTGTGAAAAGATTTATACATAACAATTGTTTTCAATGGGAATGCCACCCCTAGTTTTCAAGTACCTGTAGTGGGCCAGAACTTGGAGGAGCGGAGCCATGGAGCGGGGAAGGCTGCGTATTCACGGGAATACGGCTTTTTCCATATGTCTGCCATCAGCAATGAAGGAGGATGTGGAGCTCCCTGTGTGTGTGTGTGTTTTTTAAGGTCATTAGTATAAGATAAGAGAGCAAGTCGGAACTGAAATTGCACTCTCAATTTTTCTTTACCTTGAGAACGTTGTTGTTCGGATCAGCATTTCCTTTCTCAATCTGGGAAATTTCTTCCCTGATTGAGATGAGAGCATCGCAGAACCTGTCTAACTCAGCCTGCAATATTACATATATATACAAATTATGAAGCCATGTTTTAGAGACTGAGAGCTGAGTGATTGAGAGATTTGCAGTGTAAGGCATTACCTTGCTTTCGCTTTCGGTTGGCTCGATCATAAGTGTTCCAGGGACAGGCCAAGACATTGTCGGTCCATGGAACCCATAATCCATAAGTCGTTTGGCCACATCCTCTGGTTCTATTCCAGCAGTGTTCTGAAGACATAGAACAAGGCATTGATACATCATCTTTAACCCAAACAAGAAAGCATTTACTCGAGCGAGATAAATAAATATACCTTGAATCCTCTCAAGTCAATGATAAATTCGTGGGCGACTGTTCCATTGACACCACGGAAAAGAACTGGGTAGTGGCTCTGGAAAACAAGAAAGCATAAGTGAGGTTGCACAAGAGAAGAAAAGTTCACTTTCTTTAAAGAGTTGCAAGGACAAGTGAAGGTACCTCCAGACGCTTTGCCATGTAGTTAGCGTTCAAAATTGCAATCTTTGAGGCGTCGGTGAGTCCCCCAGATCCCATCATCGCAATGTAAGTATACGAGATTGGCAAGATAAGCGCAGACCCCCATGGTGCAGCAGAAATGGTTCCCAGCGGTGATGTCTGCTCGGGTTCAGGGATACCACCGGTAGGTATCTGTAGCAGAGTAAATAGAGTGAGAACTAGAAGGCAAATAACCCAATCAATGAGAAAGATGGATAAGCGATCATAACAAACCATAATTAACACTAACCACAGGGTGAGAAGGTAGGAATGGAGCCAAATGTTGCTTCACGCCGATAGGGCCCATACCAGGACCTCCACCTCCGTGAGGAATACAGAAGGTTTTGTGGAGATTGAGATGGCAAACATCCGCTCCAATAAAACCAGGGCTTGTCAAACCCACCTGGAAGTCGAAAATACATTCTCAAATTCGACAACTTTTGGATTTTTCAGTCCAAATACAATCCGTACCAGCAGAGAAACCATACCTGTGCGTTCATATTAGCACCATCCATATAAACTTGGCCTCCATTTTCATGAATTATGTTGCAAATCTCGTCGATACCCTCTTCATAGACTCCATGGGTCGACGGGTATGTAACCTGATATTGAAACAGAAAATGCAGAATCAGAAAGTGGAATAACCTAAAAAATAAAAATGGGTATAACTATTGTGATGACAGAAGCAAATGCATACCATAAGAGCAGCCAAGTTGTCCTTGTTGGCTTCGGCGGCTTTCCTCAACTCTTCGATGTTAATGTTTCCCTTGGCATCAGTTCCAACGGCAACAATTTTCATTCCGCACATAGCAGCACTAGCAGGGTTTGTCCCGTGTGCAGAAACAGGTATGATGCATACATTTCGGTGATGATCTCCTCTTGACTGCATCATTCATTCACCCATTTACCAAAGTTGTTGGAGAGTGAGTTCATATTGGAAATAAAGAAACTAGACTTATGTTTACCATATGATATGCACGAATAACCATGAGCCCGGCGTACTCGCCAGCAGCACCAGCATTAGGTTGCAATGAGAAAGAGTCAAACCCAGTGATAGTACACAAGAGCTCACCCAAGTTTGTAAACATTTCCTATAAGCAGTCAAACCAAATCAGTTCATGTTTCAAATTTATAGACAGAAAAGAGAAATATGTGGCCTCACCTGATAACCTTGGGCTTGTTCCACAGGAGCAAAAGGGTGCATGTTGGTGAAACTTGGCCATGTGACTGGCATCATTTCGGTCGTGGCATTCAATTTCATTGTACAAGATCCTAGGGGAATCATGCTGTGGCACAATGATAGATCTTTATTTTGTAACTTGTGGATGTACCTAAGTAACTCATGCTCCGTGTGGTACCTAACAAAATGTAAGAAAAAGTGGTACTTAATAATAAGCCACAAAGCAATAAATGATCCAAGATATAGAGAAGGCAATATACATGTTGAAGATTGGGTGGGTCAGATAAGGGCTCTCTCTTGTTAAGCTAGAAGGAATAGCATTGTTAAACTCCGGTGCGAGAGACTCAGCCGTGAATTGAACCTTGTACATTGGAATGTTGGAGAAAACAGTATTTCAAGCAAACATGAAAAAAGAGTGAACAGGCGAAAGGAATGGATATTAGTTAAAAGTAAACTCACTGGCTTGCCGGAAGCAAAAACTTCAAAAAGTTTATCGACATCATCCAAGGTGGTTGTTTCATCAAAAGCAACAGTAATCTTAAAGGAAAAGAAAAAAAACCATCAATGTTAATAATCATATCCAGATATTCAAAGAGTAATATATATATATGAAGAAACTCACAGTGTTGGAGTCCACAAGACGCAAATTGATCTCTTTTTTGGCTGCCGCATCAACAATTGCATGTGCATCCGAAACCGTAACTTTGACAGTGTCAAAGAAGGGAAGATCTTGGACCTGTGCAGTTCCCAGTTTCTTCAATCCTAAAGTAAATACACCAGCTAGACCATGAACCCGTTGTGCAATAGATTTTAAGCCTTCTGGTCCATGATAGACAGCATACATGGCAGTCATGTTTGCAAGCAATGCCTACAATGTAGAAAAGGTGGCAAAATTAGTAGCAATGTAGAAAACGATCTCGGTACCTCTAATTCTTCCTGCTTTTGTTATCAGTAATAGTCAAAACAGTATACACTATGTAAATCCTAAAGAGTTTGAAGCCATTTTTACCTGAGCGGTACAGATGTTGCTGGTAGCTTTATCCCTGCGGATATGCTGTTCCCTAGTCTGCATAGCCATACGCAAAGCTTGCTTCCCGGAAGAATCAACACTAACACCAATAATTCTCCCAGGCATCATTCTCTTATACTCTTGTGAAGTAGCCAAGAAAGCAGCATGAGGACCACCATAACCCATCGGAACACCAAACCTCTGACCCGACCCAACGACAATATCAGCCCCAAACTCCCCCGGCGGTTTCAACATTGTCAAAGCCAACAAATCCGTAGCCATCACAACCTTAACACCATTAGCATGAGCATTCTTAACAAACTCACCATAATCCAACACTTCACCTTCAGTCCCCGGATACTGAACCAACACTCCACACACATCCCCAGAGCTATAATCCACATCCTTAAGATCAACCGTCACAACTTTCAAATCGAAACCATCCGCTCTAGTCTTGCAAACATCAATCGTCTGAGGATGACAATTACTAGCAATAACAAACGTCTTCTTCTTCCCCTTGAGAATATTATTACACATAGCCATCGCTTCCGCAGCTGCAGTACCTTCATCGAGCAACGAAGCGTTCGACATCGGTAAACCGGTAAGATCAGTAATAACCGTCTGGTAATTGAGCAAAGATTCAAGCCTTCCTTGAGAAATCTCAGCTTGATAAGGAGTATATTGAGTATACCAAGCAGGATTCTCCATAATATTACGCAAAATCACAGGAGGAACATGAGTGTTATAGTATCCCATACCAATGAAAGATTTGAAAACTTTGTTCTTCGAAGCTAAATCACTCATATGCTCAATCATTTGACTCTCTGTTAATCCTTCATCAAATTTCCCAGAGAACTTCATCGAATCTAACCGAATCGATTTCGGAACAGTTGAATCAATCAACGTGTTGAGATTATCGAATCCACAGTAATTCGCCATCTGTGTTTGTTCCTCCGGTGTTGCAGAGTTGTGACGGCGCGGGAAAGTGTCGCTTGGCTTTAACGCATCGACGGAGATTGATCGTGTTTGGTGTTGATTTCTCCCGGAGGTGGTGAAAGTCGATCCAGAGATATCACGACGGTGATGGAGAAAGGAGGAGACATACCTTGAGGGAGTTACCGTCGTCGCCGGGAGAGAAGAGGATTGGCCGTTACGGTGGCGTTTTGTCTCGTTGACGAGACGTTTCACGATCCCTCTGTAAGCAAGTCTCCTTGCACGCTCCATAACTAGAAAAATGTAAATCTGAGAGAGTAGAGAGACACTGAAGAAATGCTGATTATATATTATAGTTTCGAGGTAGGTAAATATTAATATAATGATAAAAATGTTTTTTATTATAGTTTTTGAAAAAGAAAAAACATGTAATTTTTGTGGTTTTGAGATCTGAAGGGAGTTGGTGACAACCACTGAAAAAGCAACTATACAGAAGAAACAAATTTGTTTGAATAGATTCCACGTATTTTTGCATCGAAGCAATATCTTGATAAAAACAAATTATCATATTTTTTTGAAAAAATTGCGGCTGCAGGATTTTGATGCATTAGTACATCACAATCTTGAAATTTAAATGTTTGATATGCTAAGGTTTTATATTTATTGCGACTATCGTAGTCAAGTGTAAGTATATAGTTCATGCAGTTATTATGGTTACCAAAATTTCTGAACCGAATCCAACTGGAGTTTAGTCATCTCGATTCATAGTTGGTTACTATAACTGAACTGATGGGCAAGTTTTTTCGATGGTTTGTTTGTCGGATCAGTTCGGTTTGGTTCATTGGAACCGAATGGTTATCAGAAAAAAAAAATTAAGTTATTTTTTAACAATAATTAACGGAATTATACCAAAATCTTACAAAAATACACCCAAATTCCTCTAAAATCAATAGCCGAACCGAATATGTGTATTGATAATAAACATGTAACCAAACGGAAATAACCGATAATCGAACTGAACCGAATATTGAACTGTTCGGATAATTTCGGTAGGATTTAAAAAAAAAAACTTGATTAACAGAAAAACTCGAACAATTTGACTCGAATAATTCAAACTCGCATGCTAGTATTAAGTCAAGCTTTTTTTGGCATGTCTTAGACTCTTAGTTACTAGTTCCCTCAGCTCAATTAACTCTCTTAGACCCTTAATCTTTTTTTTTTTCAAAGATTGAAAACAAGTTACCATAAGTTTTGCAACTGGATACACATCTCTTATACTTTTTGTATTGCAGAAAATGCTTTAGACCTTGAGGAAAGATTGAATGGAAGAGAATCGAAGTGGAAGAGATTGGGAATATGTGGACGACAAGTTTTTATAAATTTGCTTTACAGACTTTAAGAGACAAAAACTAATAAAAATATATTATAAATAACATGATTATGTTGGATCACAAATTTACATAAGAAATATGTGGCAGGATGTGTTTCACAGAGAACTTATCTCATCAATGTGCAGCTCTTTCTTTGTTCATCATTTGACAACGGAACCATCGCCCTCCAAATTCCATATAATGCAACTTTTTTTTTACATAACTAAATTCAAAAGATTCCTTTTGGAGAAAAAATCCGAAAAAACCACCATCTAACTTTTTTTGGCCGTTTAATATCTGTAGTATTAAATTTAGAATAAAAATATCTCATTTAATTTCGGTTGTGTTTTAAAACTTTCGTTTTCTAAAAATTGGTAAAATCGTACCCCCGAATTAGCGACTGTCAACTTTGCTAACGGAAACACTAACTGCGATTAAAATTTGACCCTCATGTATTTACATATATATATATATATATACAATCTCTTTTCAAAACAGTACCAATATATTATTTTAGTCGGATGGTTAAACATGGGTAGTCTATACAACAAAACCTGGGTTCGATTCCCCTTCCGTCTTTTTTTTTTTTTTTTTAAATTTTATTCCCACCGCCGCCCTAAACAAATCCTTATTCCTGCAATTATCTTCGACCAGCTTTACCACTTCGCCACCATTAATGACGATGCTGATAACTTCAAATAGTACAGTAATGTCTTCTCTCAAGACATCAACGATTACAACAAACTAAACTGGATCGGTCCACAACTCTGCGGTTCACTATACGCCACGTGTCAACAATCCGCCACAGCTCGAGTTTTCTGGAACTCCGTCTTCTCCGCCGCCACGACTCCGTTAACCTCTATCGATAACCTCCACGGATTCAAAAACCAATTCGGGGATTCTTAGATCAATTGGTTCATCGAATTGATTCAGATCAAAACCAATTAATCAACGCCGCCGTGACTCCGTTCTCCTCTTTTCTCTTCACCACACGGCCACGAGATTAGCCCCACCCATTCAAAGCTTGATTCTAGATCCGAATTTGACCCGGTGACCATAAGCGCGTTCGATTGAGCCCAAATCTCCATCTTTAGCATCAATTGTTTTCCAAGAGCAGTTAGATTTCTTTGTCTGTGGGAAAAATATTAAAGGAAAAATGAAAAATGTCTAAAAGAGAAGGAGGTGAAAATTGAACCCAAGATCAATGAATAATCAACCCACTGTTTACCCACCTGACTAAGACAAAATATTCATTATAAAAAGAGATTATATATATACATGTAAACACCATGGGTTAAGTTTTTAGCAAAGTTAACGGTCGTTAATTTGGGGGTACGATTTTACCAATTTTTCAAAAAACGAAGGTTTTAAAAGGCAATCAAAATTAAATGAAGTATTTTTATTCCAAATTTAATACTACATGAATTAAACGGCAAAAAAAATAGATGGCGGTTTTTTCGGGTTTTTTCCACTTTCTTTTGGAAATTATTAATTTCATGTTTTTGTTAGTGCGATTTGGTCATGTTTTTGCTAGTGCGACTTGCTCTCGTTTTACCTTATGTACCCAACCATTAAGGTTGATGCTTTGTACTCTTTATCCTTCTTTAGTTGAATGAATGGATAAGTGTTTTGTTTTGTCCAAAAAAAAAAAAAACTCATCAGCATTTAAGATACTCAAATCAAAAACCAATTGTCACAATAAAATCTTGATGATGAAAATAAACTCAAGCAAATCAATAAATCATTTTCCCTATAATTAAATTCAGTTGAGTTCATATAATGTGAAATCTTTATCCCATCATAATAAATATAATTTTTATACATTCAAATTCAAAAACAAGTCTCAATCAAATTTTGTTGATACATAAAAAAATACATCTCATATCATACCAATATATAGAAACAAATCACAACTATCATAATTATTTTTTCATAAAATTTGAGAACTGTCATTTGTTCTTCTAAATATTATTAGTGCTTTTATTATATGTAGATATAAAACCGACCATGTTGTTGTGATACAAAAGTCTGAAATATCTATGATCATTTATATTATTTAAACTTGCATAAGTAAATGAAAAAAAGTTGAATTTGATGATGATTATGAAATCAGGCTATCGAATATCTAAATATTTGCTCATCAAAGTAAGTGGGAAAAATTATTTGTATCAAGAATCAAAAGCTAATGAATTTCATAATAACGATTCTTCTCAAAAATATAATAATGCTTTCGAATCTGTCCATTTACACAAGGCTTCAAGTTTGAGTAAGATAATCAATCTTATAGTTTCGAATTTGGTCTTAATATTGTATTTCTACATGAAGAAAATATAAAATAGGTAAGCAAAAGACTATATAAAATATGTAAGCCAAAAACTATTTGATATAAACACTATGTGCCAAATAACAATTTTTTCAAATTTGTATGTAGATTATCAAACTTGAATAAATATATACTAAAACAATAATTTTTAAAGATGACATGATAACATGATAACCGTCATGATAATTTCTGTAAATTTGACTATTTTCATTGTCTCTACGCTTATCTTGATGTGTGTGTGTGTAATGGTCAGATATTTCTACCTTGCCCTAAATTTGGATATGACTCGAGCATGTGATCCCAGTTTTTACCACAATCATATTCTACATCGTTTTCCCAAGACGGTAAGTCTCCGAGATCTTGGTAGAAGCTCTTGGAAGGTAACGATTGAGATAAACTATGATGAACTGCTTTTTTCAAAAAAGGCCCAAATTCGTTCAGGATAATACTCTTAGCGATAGAGACTATTTGATTTTGCCTATAATAGAGACCACAAATAGCCATTTAATTCCAAATTTAGTGAGACTAATAATGATAGATTGTTTATATATATTTTGATTAAAAAAAATTACATTTATCTTATTTCCATATGTTATTATCTTTTTTTTTATATAAGAATCTTAATAGATGAAATTATTAGAATAAAAAATATTAATTAATGCTAACAGTGATTGGTTGTTTTAAACTTTAGGTTGAAAATCTTATAATCTTATAGCTTCAACTTTTGGACCCATCAAGCCACCACAACAAATCTTCTTGCAACTAATTATAGAATTGTGATCTCCATTATCTAACTTTTAAATTTTATATAGTATAGAAATACAATTAGAAAGGTTCCTAAAACACAAGCTCTAAGAAATTGACACGTGACATTCTTTTCTTTGACATATATCTTTTCTTTTCAAACTCAAATATATTTAAACTCATCATTGAAATTAATGACTAATGACTAAGGATCATTAGTATATCATTTCCTTATTGTAATAAAATACGTAAAGCTGTGATACATTTGATTTAAATTATTATAATGAATATAAAGTGACTAATGTTTATTGTTTTGAAAATGTCTTTTTGGTTTTGTCTTTGTGCTATGTTTTTAAAACGTATATTTATTGAAAGAAACAAACAAACACAATTGACCATAATTTACTTAGTCCATTAATATAATTTGCAATAACTAATATAGTAAATGAAAATTAATTATATTAAAAAAATTTAAACAAAATATAAACATTAATTTCTCTTAGTAACATATTTAAAACGTAATTATACATTTAATCTATCATTGTAATTAATGACTAATGACTAAGGATCATTACACCAATTCCTTATTGTAAAAAAAGCCGTAAAGTTATGATATAATAGATTTTAAATTATTATAATTAATATAAGTGACTAATTTTTATTTTTTTAAATGTTTTTTGGTTTTGTCTTTGTGCAAAGTTTAAAACATTTATAACCCATATCTATATTAAAACATTAATTTCTCTATATTACACATTTAAAATCATAAATGTCCATGAATGTAAATAATGAATAGTGAATTGACCATAAATTATCTCATCAATACAATTTCCAATGACTAATGAATTGAATGAAAACAATAAATCACCAATAAACGTTTTGGTGAGTGTGTGTAAAAGTCTTTAAAATGAGTATTTTTTTATTGGAAAACAAACAAACATCAATACAATTTGCAATAACTAATTAGGTAAATGTTTTTTGTTGTGTCATGTGTGTGAAAAGTCTATAAACTGTATATTTTTATTGAAAAAAAACAAGCATAATTGACCATAACTTAGCCTATTAACACAATATGACAAAAAAAAAAAAACAAAAACAGAGCATCACCACATTAATATAGTTAGACCAATTTGAATGTTTTCTTCACTAAGATTTTTCTAATGGCCAATTAAATCACTACATCAACTTAGTATTTAGGTTGATTTCTTCTTATATATATATATATATATATATATATATATATATATATATATATATATATATATATATATAAGTGATATCGAAAAATAGAGAGCTCTAGAATATTTTTTCATGTTCATCAATGTGAGATCAATTCTTTTATTTATATGTTTAACTATATATATTTGGTCTAAACTTAATCATGTTCGGTCTCAAAAAAATTAAACGTTTTCGGGTATGTATTTCTTAATTTTAATGTTTAATGCCTTTAAACCATGTTTTATACCTTTTTGAGGCTATTATGTTTGTTGGTGGAGTTGATACTAACATTTTGCATTTGAATAGTTTCTTAACTCATATTTTTTAATTGGCCAATTAAATCTCCACATCAACTTGTTTTTTAGGTTGATTTCTTCCACTATATAAGTGATATGGGACGACAAAGATTTGCAGAATATTTGTTTCTTTTCATCAATGTGAGATCAATTTATTTATTTATTATGTTTCATTATATATAATTGGTCTAAACTTAATCATGTTTAGTCCCAAAAACTTAGAGGTTTTTCGGTATGTATTTCTTAATTTAGTCTTTGTACCATGTTTTATAAATTTTTCAGGTTATTGTGTTTGTTGGTGATGAAGTTGATAGTAACTACAATGAAAAAAAAAAAAACTTTATTCATTATGTTTGACACATTAATTTGTTTCATTAGACCTTTGTGGGTATCTCTTTCCTAATTTCAATACCTATATATCTTTGAACATTTTCTATGTTTGTTAGAAAAAAAATAAAAATTATATGTTGTGCTTTCAATGTGATGTGGTAGAACAAACTGATACTTTGTTATTGGATGATACAAATAAGTATATCCATACTTTTTAAGACGCAAAGATTACAAATTTATCTTCTAATAGCATGCATCTTAAATATGTTATGTCAAGAATGATTGTGTATGTTTTAACCACTATTATAACAAATTTTTTTTCTTACGTGAGTTGTGAAGCTAGAATATACATGTAAAACTATAGGAAGCTAAATAAAGTCAATGAGCCAAAGTCATTGTTACGGGTGATTAAATAGAGACATGTATTTTCTTTTTGGAGCATTATAAGTATATGTGTATATACTTCATTTTAACACTAAAAAAAGACATTGTATTTTACTATCATATTAAAAAACCATGTTATTAACCTTGTGTTGGTTGTTATGTCTTTTTATATCATTGTAAAGTATAAGTTGTATTTTGCAATGTGTACACAATTCCCAGCATCATAATTTTATTGAGAATATATTTTTTATGGATTCAAATTTCTAAAAATCAAATATACGATGATGTAGTAAAACAATTGTATATCTCATACTAAGTCACTAGCCACAATTATATATTTATTATATTAGATTTGATATTATTTTCATCATCAAACTTTTATCAAAACCATTTTTATTTGGTTTTGAATGTATAAAGAAACAATGTATGCTAATGGGGCAATGCGATTGCATTTTAAACTCAGCCATAAATAAATTATATATTTTTTATTCTTTTATTTGTGGTATTTCGTGAAGTTTTCAAAAGGTATGCTCCTTTTAAAATAATATTAAAATATTATTTATTGATTTGTAGATTAGGGCTTTTTATTATTTAAATCATCATCATACATTAATTTCTTGAGATATTTGAATTAAGATAAACATGATCTTAGTATAATTTTAATTAAAAAAAAACATTTAAATATATAAGAACTTTTTTCTTACTCTATATTTTGACTCACTACTAAAGTTTACCCATCCTATGTATTTGCATGTAAGATACTCAAATCCAAAACCAATTGTCACAATAAAATCTTGAGGATGAAAATAAACCCAAGCAAATAAATAAAATATTTTTCCTATAATTAAATTCGGTTGAGTTCACATAATGTGAAATCTTTATCCCATCATCATAAATATAATTTTTCTACATTCGAATTTAAAAACAATTCTCAATAAAATTTTGTTGATACATACAAAAATGCATCTCATATCATACCACTATATACACAAAAATCACAACTATCATAATTTTTTTTTCATAAAATTTGAGAATCATCATTTGTTCTTCTAAATATTATTATTGCTTTTATTATATGTAGATATAAAACCGACCATGTTGTTGTGATACAAAAGTCTGAAGTATCGATGATCATTTATATTATTAAACTTGCATAAATAAATGAAAAAAAAAAGTTGAATTTGATGATGATTATGAAATCAGGCTATCGGATATCTAAATTGGCTCATCAATGTAGGTGGGAAAAATTTTATGTATCAAGAATCAAAGCTAATGAATTTCATAATAACGATTCTTCTCCAAAATATAATAATGCTTTCGAATCTGTCAATTTACACAAGGTTTCAAGTTTGAGTAAGATAATCAATCTTGTAGTTTAGAATTTGGTCTTAATTAATATTGTATTTCTAGGTGAAGAAAATATAAAATAGGTAAGCAAAAGACTATATAAAATACATAAAAACTATTTGATATAAACACTATGTGCCAAATAACAATTTCTTCAAATTTGTATGTAGATTATCAAACTTGAATAAATTTATACTAAAACAAAAATCTCTATAAGACAATTAAATTCATTCAGTTTACTATATATGTAGGTATAGTATGTTCAATTTTACTTTATTTATTCAAACTCACACAACTCGTGAGACTTTTTCCTAGTTATATATATAGATTAGCCAAAAGAAATCTTACTAAATAGGCCACGTTCCTTTAAGTGTCACACGACTCTTAACTATTCTAATTATTTTATTTTTATGGTGAATTTTGTAATTATGAGTATCTTAAAGGGTATAATAATAAATTTAGTAAATTTCCAATTAAAAATTCGATTTTTTAGGTTGAAGAAGAAGATAAGGATCATAACAGATCTGTTAATATTAAGGATCGCTCGACACTTAACTAGCGACTCTTATTTTTCTTTCTTTTTGGTTTTTTTTTTATGATTAATTTTGTAATTATGAGTATCTTAAAGGATATTATTATAAATTTAGTAAATTTCCAATTAAAAACAAAAATTCGATTTAGTAACATATCTGTAAATCTTCGTTGCTTCAAACTGAAGTCTGAAGGTATGAGTTGTGCCTCTGATTATTCCGGCGACTCCAAAATTTTGAGATCGAAGTCGCAACGATTGAAATTAAGGAGAGATGAAAGAGAAGTAAGACAATTTTGTGATCGCCGGTGAATATCGTAGCGACACTCCCGAACTGGCCACAAAATCATGTCGTTTTGACACCAAAAAAGTAAATTCGGTATGTTGACAGTGGGATTTGAACCCACGCCCTTTCGGACAAGAACCTTAATCTGGCGCCTTAGACCAACTCGGCCATATCAACACTTTTGTAACAAGACCACTGAAATGCAATATAAACTTAACCACTGAAATGCAATATAAACTTAATAATAGCCTTCTTTAGAATAATTTTATTCCAATTTTCTGTTTTCTAATGTCTTTTTTTGTGACTTATCTCCGCTGACTAGGTAATACCATGTGGAACAGTACTATGTATGAAACAAATTAAATAATAGAATGAATTTGATCTCTTTTACAAATCAAACAAGATTCACATGTATCATCCATTACCCAGTGTCTATACTGGGCACATAAATCTAATTTTACAAAAAGGAATATTGATGTATCTGTCTATAGTATATAGTTTCAATGTATATATGTGGTACATCTAACAACAACTATAAAATCAGATCATGTAAGAACTATGAGGTCATCTTTTCCCTATACAGCTCCAATGATGTTGGAACTCTAGTGCTTGTGAGATCATATATTCCGTAAAACTGTCTCCAGAGGGGCAATTCTTGAAACAAACTACTGATCGATGTCATCGGGAGGCAATGTCGGACTCTTGGAGCACATATCCGTCTTATGAAGCTCCTTTAACCGACTCTCCGGGTTACAAAGCCCTACAAATTTGTGAAGGAAAAGGTTGGCTACTGATTCTTGTGACCGGCTGATCGCTATTATTTGAAATCATATTTATGTTACCTGAGCATTTCGGAATGTCCCAAACTGCTATAGACTTTGGGGAACAATGAGGATCGCATAAAGCACGGTTGTCCTCGTGATGTACATCCATTGCAAGCATCCACGATCCGATAGTTACATCTTCATTATTAAACATCCTCAGGCTGAAATGAAAAAAAAAACCGATGATGAGATTTGCATATCAGAATCTACAAGTTAGTACATCAAAAGCATTTCAAACCTGCCATTCCGAGCTGCTGCAATTGAAGCCACTATCTCGGCTGAAAGAACGTATATCGGTCCATAAGCATGTAGGAAATATTCATTTCCAATCAAATTGCCCTGTTTCTCGTACCTGGCGAAATAAATATCTATCACTAAAATAAACTCCGCATAGAATTACAGTCGCAGATGAAGAGAGAGCTACTTCATACCATTTTAGTTTAGGGTCAGTTATAACTGGTCCTTTCTTCATGCAACCAATGTATGTCTGTGAGTGAAGTCTTTCCTTGGCAAGAAGCGTCGCAAGTCGATCTGAACCAAAAAAAAAGGAATTTGAATACAACTGTGATGCAGACGAAGACATCCCGAAATACTCGCTCTCAAATACCTGGTCTCAGATAAATGTCGTCGTCGGCTTTGACATAATAATCAGCTTCAAAGAGTTTAAAAGCTGCTTTGAAAAAAGCCAACCTACAAGGAGGAGACAGGAATCAGTCATTGATAAAAACACCAAAACACTAAGAAATAGGGAAACACAGATCAACAACCAAAACCAGGATTTTACGTTTTATATGGAAGTCGTACATATTCTTCCTCGACATCAAGAAGCACAAAATCTCTGTACTCTTTTATCTCCTTCTCAAGCTCAGCCATCTTCTTTGCATCCTTTGACCGTCCAATGACGAATCTAAAAGCTAATCCAGTCGCTTGTTCCAACCTGAATTCCAATCGACAACAACAACACAACATTGGATTCAAATCCAAAATAAACAGAAGTAAATTGATCCAACGAAAGTGAAGTAAATCATCATTGGCTTCTACTAATAAGATCCATTGCTTAAACCTAAACCCGTAAATTCCGAGTGAACATACACTTTTCCAAGTAACTAACACAACATCACAATATCTTATCTGCCTGCATTTTCCGCATTGACTAAACCGCGCTTACCGATGAATATGAACTCAAAAATCGCTAAAGTAACCGAAATGACATCAAAAGATTCAAACTTTAAAAATGACAAAATCCCATCATGCTATACTAACTATATAAACATCTAAAGGTCAAGACTTTGAAGTTGACAAAATCCAACAATTACGGATACTTACTTTAACTTTATAAATCGATGAATCTCACTAACCAGCAATTCAGAATTTGAAGCAATGTATCATTCTAATAAACAAGATAAGAGAGTTTAGATACCTCAAAAGAGAATCAGGATCAGAAGGGAACCAAGTACTTCTCAAAGCAGTTCTACGATCACCTGAATCAAAACCAGTCTGGATCCCAACAAACCCTAAAAGCTTTCGTCTTTCAACAACACCATTACCACCATCTCCTCCAAGCTTTCTTGAAGCAGAAATAACCCGAGAAGTGTCCTTAGATCCACCGCATCGATAAACAGAAGCAGGACCGGTGGAGGAGAGTGCGAAGATAGTTCCGGCGACTCCGATGAAAACAGAGACAAGTGAGAAGAATATAATAGCTACATGAATACGAGACGAAGCATAAGAAGAGTTTGGTTTATGGGTTTTTGAAGAGGGTTTATTGTAGTACGAAGGAGACGCCGGAGAAGATGAAGATGCGGTGGTGAAGCGGTGGGAGAAGAGTGGCATTATCGTAAATCTGTGGTTGGTCTAAGGGTAAGTTTGGGTTTTGAGATAATTTTGATCACTCTGGATTGTGAAGGTTTTTTTTTAGATCTGTCTATTTGCTTTTAGTGACGGTGGTGTGTGAAACTGTGGCGAATCTAATTATTTTCCTCTTTTTGTGATTCTCTTACACGAAATCTATTAGTTATGTAATAATTCCCTTATTATTTTGGTTATTACAGAACAAAAGAAAGAGAAACAATGAATGCATTCACATGACAATTTATGAGATTGAATTGCCCCGAAATGTATTATAGAAGTACTACAAAATTAAATGTGAGTATGTGACACAAATAAGCTCAACATCTGAAATCTGAATAATGAAAAACTATCTAACCAATTATGTGTGGAAGGGCAAGAGAAATGTCTCACTTGCAAGTCAAATTAGATACCGATTGTAATAACGTTTGCAAAACACACTTTTTATATATGTGATTTTTACATTTCATTTCCAAATTCACTTATATAGGTTCAATTTGGATAACTCTATATTTTTAACCTTTATCCAATTCACCATGAACTTATTAGAAACTTTCTAATTCCATCAAAATCATCTTAATTTAAAAAAATTAATTAATTTTGTCAATTACGATTTAAAATCCTTAATTCGCGTTCATTGTTTCGCGTTTATGATATAGTTCAAATTGTCTTATGAACTACTCTCTCAAATAAAAAAATCACTCTAACACTTAAGGGTCGAATTCCGCAAATCTCTTTAATCACACAATAGATAACTAGTTTTGAAATCAAGCTAAACAGAAAATAATTGAAAATTAAAATTGCAGAGAAATTAAAATCAAAGTAAATTCATATGAAGAAATAGTTAGATTCGGAGATATTCTCATGAAAATTCAGAATTGTAAATTAACTCAAAATTGTTGGGAGTTAATTAACAACTAGTCATAGAACTCAGATCACGAAGGTAAAGTCAATAAACTCTCGTTATAGAGATTATCTATGCCTAAAATCTAGAATTTTCGATCTCATTGCGAATAATAAAAATTAGACAAGCATTAATTTTAGGTTTTGATTAGTTTACAAAAATCTATTAACCAAATCTCTTTGTGAATAATAATTGTTGCTCACCTAAGATATTTCTGAAAAATTACACTCTCGTGTCAATTAATGCTACGATCGAATTCTAGGTCGCGAATCAAGAATAAGCAGTAAGAATAATCTTAGATGAAGAACTCTATTGATTTAGCCTAACAATTCATCATAAACCCTTGAAAATTCCTAACCATAGCAAACAAACTACTGAGACTTGAAACAAACAACATGGTTGAGTAGAATTTAATAAAAGAGATAAGAGTAGAATATATATGTTTAGAATGAATGGATTTTATTGATAATATTAGAGTAAATACAAAGAAGTTCTCATATTTACAAGGTGTTGATGAAAGTCTAAATCTGGTTGTGGAGCTGATAAGTAATGCCTCTCTAGGTCAGTCTTCTCCAAGATCCACCCAACTCCTCTCCCAAACTTCAGGTCTTTTTCAAGATCCTTTCTTTCACTCATCCTCTACTCTTCTTAGCAAGGAGCAACCTACTTTGGGCCAGTGGGCCTCAATGCTGTTTTGTAAAGGTCTAGTTAACATTTTCATTCGTGGGCTTAGATAGGTTCATCCCAGCTCCAACAGAGAGAGTAAATCAAATTTCGAGATCACTTGCATTTCCTGCATTCTTTCAAACTTTTTAGTTTTCATCGTTCTATTTTTACCTAATGTATTCAAATCATGTATATCTTTCAAGTTTAATAAAGTAAATTTTAATCACACGCTTATATATCAATCGTTTTGAATTCAATTTTCAATTTTACAAAAAAAAAAAAAATATTATGGGTATGATTGGTAACCTAAAGTTGTACAAGTTTTTTAGCTGTTAGCTGGAGCTATTAGTTCTTAGGAAATAGTGCAAAACTATACGAAAGAGTAATACATGAAAGCTGTACAAAAAAACAAAGCAGAATAAATTTTAAAAATTTACTCTGATTAGAAACATTATAGCGGTACAAATAATAAATAATATTAAAAGTTTAGAAAAATGAAAAATAAAATAAAATTTACATAGAAATGTACTATTGTATATACTTACATATGAAAATTTAAAATTATGTGATGACAATTCAATGGTTATGAAAAAAATTAAAATTATACAGAATAAACAATATTTTATTGTTTGAATAATAATATGAATTTACTAGTCCTATAATTAATAAAAATATTTGTTTACTTATTTTTAAAGAAAAACATTAAAACTTATTTAGTAAAATTAATTTTAGTAATGTCTCATACATACATATAGAATTTAAACATACACAACAATATAAAAAATTGAAATTAAGTATGAGCTTCCCATAACAAATCTGCTATTTAATTACGTACATCTGCCATATATGCTCCACTTCTCTCTCGATGTTTCCACCTCTTCTATTTCATTGACCACACTTACATCTACATCATGTTGTCCATTATCATTTTCATTTTCTGCATCGGTCTCAAAATCATCATCAACAATATTGGAACGCCGAATGTAATTATGAATTCTCATTGTAACAAGCATCATATTTTTTTGAATTTCTAATTTGTATCGCGGTAACTCTTTCACGACCCTCCATTTTTTTCCAGATTCCAAAAGTTCTTTCAATAACAGAACGAAGTGAAGCATGCCATATGTTAAACATTTCATACTTATTTCTTGGAGGTGGACCATTCTGAAATTGCCCTAAATGATACCTCACCTCTTCTTGTTGGTTGCTCCGGTAAGGAGCTAAGTAACCCTTTCGGTTCGCATATCCAGAGTCAAATAGATAATATTTACCCGTTGGAGGTTTCGGAAATCTTTGGCTATTCTCTTGTGTTATCGATAAAACTCTAGAATCATGAAAGGAACCCGGTGCTCCATTCTATATTTATGTGAAAAGCAAGTCTAAATCACATATCGCCATAATATTTAGGCTTGGTTCACCAAAACGATCACATAAACTCTTCGATTTTTCTGTGGTGCTATGATGGGAACATGTGTACCATCTATAGCACCTATGAAACTTTTGAAAAATGGCCAATACCTTGGAACATAACGAAAACTGCGGGGATACTCTCTAAGTTGCTGGGACGTTGGAGTCTTTATTTGATCACACGAAAATCGCTCCATCGCATTTAACACTTCATGACACGTCTGATTAACTGTCTCTTGGTTACGCCCAAACTTTCGGGCTACAGTACGTTGAACCTCATTATGACCACATGTGGAAAGAAACATCGCAACACTTTCGTCAATGCTAATATTTTCTTTGTAGTGTTAAGCCATACTCGTTTTCCATTAGCTGACACAACATTTGGAATATTTTGCGGGTCATCGTTACGACATGTAAGTATGATGCATCATCACGTTCAATTTGACGTTTAATATTTAGCCAACCTAATCCCCCTCCCACTTGCATGGGTTGTCGACAAAAATATCATTCATAGTATTGCATCGTTGATTGAATAAGTACCTCATCGACTTCTTCATCTTCAAGCATAAACAATTCGCATAATTCTTGGTGTGTTAAATTATCTAGTCTACGAGAGTATAACTCTTTCATCCGATTTTTCTGGCCATTAAAAAAATAAGTTAAGTGACTAAAAAATCAATGGTAAATAAACATACATTAAACATAAATTTTAAATCTTAAAATTTAAATACAAACATTCATAAACGACATAAACATTTGATATAATATATTCATTGTCTCGAGATATCAGTTGGATTGTTGATGTTCTATCATCCATAAAATTCATCTGTCGTGGCTGAGTACCAGTTGAATATGGTACACCAAACCTATATCCAATATCAGTTGATCGTCGGTTTGGCATTACAAAACCAGGAAAAAATTCGTTCTTGTTTCTTGATTAGTTTCTCCCATTTGTCTAGCTGAAATTCTACCCATCGATGATGAGGCCCCAACATTAAAGACTCTAGGAGATCCTGATGTTTGCATCATTTTTGTAGCAGGCGACGAGGCTATAAAAGGATAACCACCAAATCGTTGAAGAAACATCATCAGAATATATGGCTCACCCATCATCTGTCCGGCCATGTTAAATCCTTGCCCCGGAGATGAAAAGAAGTATCCCATAGCGGGAGATGGTTGAAACTGTGGAAATTCAGCAAACCTATATTTAGAGTTTCCGGATGAATGTCCCAGAGAATTTCCTGAAGAATTTCCTACAGAACTTCCTGATGATCGCACACTTCCACCGCTAAAACTACTTAAAAAGGATCCAAAGTTTAACAAATTTGAAGGAGTTACGGTATCCAGCCAATCCAGCTCAATTATACTTTCTAAAAGTTAGATTCTATCTTCATCTGACTCAAAAGAGGTGTCCAAAAATGCATTACACCACCATGCATCCTCCTTAAGAAGCTTCGATGAGGCTTTCCAAAACGGTTTGTACTTCTCAATTGGTAAAGAATTCAATATAGCAAATGCTTCTTTAAATTTTGTGTATTCTTCGGGATTGTACCTTCCAGGTCGCATAGCTGGTACAGTTGCACGTCGTGCATCTACTATTCCTTGAAATGCAGTGGTAACCGAGCTTTCGAATTGATGCTTTCTACGGTTACTACGATTTTTACTACCAGCAAAATGAACTCGTGAATTACTTCTTCGCTTACTTTCTCCTCGTCTGGCACTATATGGCATAGCACATGCGGTATTTCTACCTCAATGATTCTGGATTTCTTCTGCCGATGCAACTAGGATATCTACATGTGTTTCAAGTGTTGCATCCTCATCAGTATTTTCGTCATGAGTTTGAGGAATCTCGTTATTAGCATAACCATCCTCATCAAAACCACCACTAAAATCAGCTCTTTAATCTACTCTATGTGTTCAGTTGATACCTCATATTATCCATAAATATGTTGCAATGCATCCCATTATTTTGGCGGTTTACGGTCACAAGCCAAAATTGTTCTACTCTCGTGAAATTTTTTTTTAAT